GTTTCATTAAAATCCAATCAGTACCTAGTTTTTGCGTGATCAAGTAACAAACATCCATACATATACATCCAGACGTCCAGACATTCTCACAAACTTTCGCATTTATAGTATTAGTAGATGTATAGTATAAATAAACATAGCTATTACTAGCATACAGGATAATCTTATCGAACACAGGATGAGACCGCTTCGTGTTGCATAAAAATAACATACCTATTTGTAAATACTGTTTCAACAACGTGTTTTTCTAACTTAGTTTTAAACTCTTTACGTAAAGTTCTAATTATAAATGTTATAGTATAAATGGATGTGCAATACTTGTTAATTACAAACCGCGTATAGTAAGTATGTAATATATTACAAACAATGAGTAATATATTGCAACTCGGTCGGCTTTATCGATATTGATGAAAAAAAATATAGGTAGGTATAGGTAGGATATTTTAAAATCTTCTAAAACGTTGATATTTTTAATTTTTGTTGTATAAATTATTAAGGAATGTTGAATACTTTCTATATTTTCGGATTATTTTGCGGATTTATTTTTATTTTTGGTTCCCGCCTTTGAGATGTCTAAAACCTTGGTCTCTCCCGTGACCATGATTGCTGTAAAGCATTTGAAACTTCGGGAACCAAAAATCAAAATAAATCCATGTAAAAAATCAGACAAAATAGTTTTATTTAAAATAACCTAACCGCATGAATCTATAGCAAAAACTTTTTAAACTATTCTCTCACGGTGCAGAAAAGATAGTAAAGCATGCAGAACGTAAAATAAACTTTTAATTTTGAAGTAGGTACTAGACTGGAGCACCGGTCGATTTAAAATTTTATGACTTCTATGAATATGCTAGATCTCTACCAAATCTCTATAGACACGTGGTAACCACAAATGGACATATACTCGTAGCCCATTTTTGAATGCGAATTGAGTCTGTTATTACATAACAAAAGATAGTTTTATTTAATATGTCAAATATTCGCATAAATCTAGGCGGGGTACAAAAAAGATAATTATTTTTGATAAATAAAATCGAAAATATTTAATTTGCAACTCTTCAAATTTTCGATCAGTCATACTCGTATATTCCACTAATAAATAGTGCTAAATAGTGCCTGTATAGTTGATTAAATTTATTCTGTTTTTGTTTCAAAGTTTGTGTGTCAAAATTATGAAAAAAAATAATAATAAAAGATTACCTTGATTGTTAAAAGTGTATAATTTATTCTAACGTAAATTATGATAGGCAAGTAGTCAAATACCAATACCTATACAAGGATTGCTACGTTTATCTCTGTTTGATAATTATCTTGATAATTATCGTGATAATATCAATAGATAGATATATTTATCTTGATAATTTCATCTGAATTTAAATACTATGTGGTAAGGTTAGTATGTATATCATCTTTGCCATTCAAATGTTTTAAATCTAGAAATTGTGTGTCATATTACTTATTCATTAAATCTCACAAAAATATGCAAAATTTGTTTAATAAAGAGTGGTTTGATTCGTTATTATTAAAGTATTCTTGTATAATGTATATAATTTTTAATTTTCCAAACTTTCATCACATATATCACTTTCTGATTTATTCATGGTCAATTGACGATTAATAAATAAACGTATAATTTTTCCTATTATTATATAATTATGCAGCATGTTATTATGTTTTATCGACTATGCATATCGCAGCTTTCCATTTTATCACGTTTGGAGATTCTTTTAAGGAATGCAGCACTCTCATTTTATAGTTTTTCATAGCTTAATTATAAAGAGGAAAAAATATTTAATTGTTTGTTTTTTTTTAAAAGAATATCGACCGTTCCTTTTGAAAGTTAAAAGTAGAATACCTACTGGATGTTATCTGAGACACGACGTTTTTTTTCTCGAAACGTTTTCCGCCATTTGCGTTTCTTTAAAATTTTAAAACTATGTACATATATGTTTTAAACTTGAGTATGTCGCTTTGAGTATTCACGAATATGTCCCGAAATGTCTCTTTTTTAATTCTTCCCCCTAAACATCAGGCAGTGTTACATGTTTTTGAATCACCTTATTAATTATTATATAAATTGCTTGGTGAACTATAACCCCTTGTTTAAACATTAATTATTTTTATTAGTTGTATTTTTAGAATATAATGAAATAATTATAGTAAAAATATCATTTTATAGAAAACTAGCATTGCCCGCGGCTCTGCCCGCGTTCAGATGACCAAAATCAAATTGTTAGGTTTCTCAAAAATGAGATATTTTCCCGCGGTAAAAAGTATCCTATATGTTGACCCGGATAACCAGCTATCACCATACCAAATTTCATCAAAATCCCTTCAGTGGTTTTCTGTGATGCGGTAACAGACAGACAGGCAGACAAAAATTCTAAAAACTATAGTTTCGGCCTTTGTATCGGTAATAATGTTTATTTCAATAAGATTTTCTAAAAAAATTTCTAATGAACAGATTTGGATTAGTTACAATTTTACTATATGTATAGATAAAAAAACGTGTGTGTGTACTTATGTATACTTCATTGCAAAATACATAAAGATTTCATCCCGTTTGTAAAAGGTATGCAGCTAACTTCGTCATGTCGCTTTTTGGCTGTCGGTGTGCGCGCGCATCAAAAAAGTTTTACTCTCATAAGTTTTGCCAAGCGTGCCAAAAGAAGTATAATTTCAAAAATATCCAAATTGTATTTCAGTGACAGAAAAGGGTAATTTACTAATTTGCATACTAATTTTAACTTCCACGTGGCATGCACATTTCACGCGCACTGAACATCGTGGTTTGGCGCGAGTAAATTGCAAAATTACCAGGAACTATGTCGGAAAGTGGCCGAGCCGGGAAATCGTCAAGCGTGAAATTACTGAATTTACTTACCAAAGGAAGTAATCGACTTATCAATGCCGATCGGTCTTAATAAAGTCAGTCTATGACTCTAAACGATATTTATTTTTATGCAATTTTACACGATTTATGTGTTTATTGCGTTTTATTAGATATTTTAATTTAACATTGCAATTTCTTATTTCAATAGAGAGCTTATTTCTAAAGCTCAAATAAGAAAACATATTGCTATGCACTGTAAATAATCTTGGCAATTTTCTGTCGGATCCCTCGATCAATGCTGAGTTTATACCCAACCAGCATTGCCCGCAGCTCCGCCCGCGTTTTGATGACCAAAAACCAAATTCTTAGGTTTTATATATTAGTATACTCTTACATTGCGGTTTTTGTATTTTTTCTCAGAAATGAGATATTTTCCCGCGGTAAATTAACCAGCTATCACCATACCAAATTTCATCAAAATCCCTCCAGGGTTTTTCCATGATGCGGTAACAGACAGACAGACAAAAATTCTAAAAACTATTGATTCGGCCTCTGAATCGATAATAATGTCTATTTCAATAAGGTTTTCCAAAAAATATTTTATGTACAGATTCGGTTTATTTAAAATTTTATTATATGTATAGATATTTTCTTACATTTGTAAATAAATATTTCATCTTAAGTAAAGTCATGAGAATTATTTATTTCAATAAACAAACTCTGAAACAGGTAACATTTATATATCTGCGGGATGCAAAGTAACAATGAGAGCAATTAACGGATCAGTGTTTACGAGTATCTTATGTTAATACACTGCCTCGACGAACGTTGGTTCCGGCAGGACAAAACCATAATTATTTGGTAGTATACACATTTAGAATGGATATTTTAAAGATAAAATTATAATTTACATAAAGAATTTTTATTTTACACTAGCGGACCCGACAGACGTTGTCCTGTCTACACGTCTTTAATTTGAAAATTTCAAACTTTTTTTAATAATTTTCTTGATGAAAATTATTATTCAAATTGTGAATCTAAACCATTCCCAGATCCCTTTGAACACACACAAAAAATTTCATCAAAATCGGTCCAGTCGTTTGAGAGAAGTTCAGTGACATACACACTCACAGAAGAATTATATATATAAAGATTTACTGCTTGCTGAATTTCTCCATACTGTTTAGAATTTTTGTAACGGAAAGAGTATAGTAATTTTATAGGGGTATTCAGAAGGGGCACGGATCTTGAAGACATTATGAAATTGAAAATTGATTGCTATACGACCAACATATCCGTAGTTTTGTATTATCTCACGATCATTAGAGCTGTAAAAACTAAGCTTAAACATTTCAAGAATGTACGCACGCAGTTTTTGCGTATGTCGTATAACTGTTCGTAGCATTACGGCGTAATGCGTTCTGTTGCTGGCTAGGTTCAGTGCACGCCTAATGTTTTAAATGTACTATTACTGGCCATTGTTTTCTATATCATAGCGACAATTGTTGATAAAATAATATGTATAGAAACAAAATAAAAGCGAAAGTTGATAAAATGATAATTCGTGTTAGTTATGTTATCATCGTCACCTTAATTCTGATATGTGTTGATTATTATGGTTTTAGCTTCTATATTTAATTAAAGATCACTTTATTCATTCTACTTCTTTATTATTCATTAGAAAAGTATAATAATTATCGTTGATTTTACTTAACAAATTAAAATACACTATTTTTCATGAATTCATTTTCTTACTAACATGTATTGTGATCTGTGGTGGTTTTTTTTACTTTGGCTATCTATCAAAGGTTATATTTATTATTATATACGATATTTAAAAATGTCCATTGATAGATAACAAAGGTACATAGTGTACTTACCTGAAGACATTATATATATAGCGACTTGCTGCTCTACCTTGGCTCGGTTGCCTTAGATGTCTAACAGCAGCCTTTGTTACTCCAGGTCATAGTCTATCTGAGTACCTACTTGATGTTTATCCAAATCCTTCCAGCGGTTTCAGAGTGAAGGAGTAAACAACATACACACATTCAAACATCCGCAGTTACAATAGTAGTCCGATAATTATTTTGTGTTTGAAATAACAAACAACGATAAATTCTGTCAACAGTGATGTTCACGAGGTAGCCGGCAGCGAGGTGCAGCCATGCCGCTGCCAAAGCGCTGTGTGGAGCCGGTGCACGTGTCGCGCGGCACTGTACCCGAGCGCCTCACCGTGCCTTCGGAACTCGAAGCCGTCACCAACGGGACACTCGCGAATACTGTCAGGTAACTGAATATTTATCGTCATCATCATCATCATCATATCAGCCGAAGGCGAAGATGTCCACTGTCCCCCAAAGATTTCCGCGATTGCCGGTTTCTATATAACTAAATATTGTTATCATTTTGCTACATAGTTTCTTGGGGAGGGGTTCGGAGTTAATGTTCCTATAAGTTTAATGATATTTAATGAACTATGATGATGAGTAAGTATCCTATGGGAAAGAATTACCGGAATATTAAGTATTCTATATTAATATATAGAGTTTACAGGATTAACAGGAATAGGATTAACATTCAAGACATCATCTATGTATGCGTGTTGTAGTAGATAGAGATTGTTTGGTGGGTAAGAGTCCCTTGCCTGTTGACTGCCTGCAGGGACCTCATACAGAATTTTCCCAACAACATAAAAGAGGACATAATGTACGCCAAATTAATATATCACGCGGATAAATCTTTTAAATACTTTCATAGGTTAAATACATTTTTAATAATGTTAGATTACTAGTTGTGCCCTTCCATTTCTTTCGTTTAAAAGCCGCTGCACCCGGGTCGCCTGTCGTTGTCGCTTTATGTATTTTCCTTCAGTTTGCCAAATCGATTGACTTTTACGGTTACTGCTCCGTTCCTTTGCATCGTAGCGTGACGTTATTTATATAGCCTCTAACGTTTCTCATAAACATGCTATTTAATGCAAAAATAATTCCAATCGACCTAGTTGTTCCTGTTTTATAGGCGTTCAAACATACTTATCTCAGGAACTATACTGAGAGCTTTATAAAATTATGTATTTCCAGTATGCCTTGCATAGCTTTACACGTGTCTAAATTGTAAACGCTGAAAATCTTGTGACCTTTTTGAATGAAGATACTAACTAGGTCGTGGTTCTTGCCAAATTCGTCATATCGTCCAGATCGGAATAAACATCTGTAGTCAACAAACTCCTGTACTGTCTTACAAAAGTTTACTTCTTACGGAGATCAATATTTGACTTTAAACGTACATAACGTATTAAGTCATGTCATCGCATTTAACTAAATCGGTATGGACATCTTAGAGTATTTCATTTACATCATTAAAATTATATCAAGTCGGTCAAACTTTCTTTGGGAAGTATTGTCAATTGTTACATGAGATTAATAATCACATTAAAAACAGGAAAAAGCCACGTAGAAGCGTTCTCTTCACACTTTTAAATGATGTATATTCTCATGAAATTGTTCTTTAGTACACGAAATGACTGTTGGAAAGGAAAATGGACAGTTGAAAAATGAAAGTAGTTACCTATCTTTATATATATAATTCTTCTGTGAGTGTGTATGTCACTGAACTTCTCTCAAACGACTGGACCGATTTTGATGAAATTTTTTGTGTGTGTTCAAGGGGATCTGGGAATGGTTTAGATTCACAATTTGAATAATAATTTTCATCAAAAAAATTATTAAAAAAAGTTTGAAATTTTCAAATTAAAGACGTGTAGACAGGACAACGTCTGTCGGGTCCACTAGTAGCATTATAAAGTATTAAGACCCAAGGAGAAAAAATGAGAGCTATGTACATATATTAAATCTCCTTTCGTATTACCTCATAATGCTACCTAGTGAAACGTCAATATTGTACATATCTTGCATTCTAGTCAGGTCACCGCAAATTGCGCAGTTGTGCCGCATGCAGACAGCACCGATCGCCTCTAAACAAGATAATGCTGTAAGATGTTCCCCTTCAATCATACCTATGTGATCGCTAGCTTAACGATAACTCTAAAAATATACCAACAATATGGTTATTGTTCGAAAACCGAATTTGGGTTTTTGCTCATAGAAAGCCTGAGTAAAATATATAATTTTAAAAGAATGTTCTTAAATTCATATCATCTCGTAGGTTTCAACATGCGGCGTATTGTTAAAAAATATGATTTGTCTACTTTATCTATCTATACTAATATTATAAACAGGTAAAGTTTATGATGTTGTAGGGGATAATCTCTGGATTTACTGAACCGATTTAGATGAAATTTGGATAGTTTGAGATTTGAGATGAAAGTTTGTTATTGGGAAGCAAGCTAGGGACGAACCCGAGCGAAGCGAGTTTGATTCGCTAGTTAAATAAATAAAATTCAAGATTAAGACATCTTTTTGAAAGTCAGCTTAATAATTTATATTTTTCATGCTATATAGATGCATGTAAAAAATTGAAACACATTTATATGTTACCGTTGAAATAATAATTTAGTATTTACATGCGAATTGAATTTGGTCACTTTATAGATACAATTGGCCTAATTTCGGCCATGGACGGTATATTAAAAATTGAGGACAGATTATTCACTCGAACTCTGGTTAAAGTTGTAAACAAAGGATACACGTCTTAGATCCAAACTGTTTATTTCCTTGCAGACAGTTATCATCATTGTCTAAGCATGCGGAGGACATGTTCGGAGAGCTGACGCGCGAGGCGACGGGCTTGGCGGAAAGGACGAACGTACTACAGGCGAGAATAGATAGGCTCGCTATAAAAGTTACACAGCTGGATTCTGGAGTCGAAGAAGGTAAATAATTCTACTATTTTAATTTCGATTTTTTTTGTATAACTCATTTTTTACTTGTATATAGTAATTTTAAATAAAATATTTTTTCGAGAGAGTCTTTCTCGTCACGTTTGCTGTAAAGTATTCAACCTGTGAAACCAAGCACCTAAAATAAAACGCCAAGAATCTCAAAAATAATTTTATTTAAATCAGATATTCGCGTAAATCTATGAAAGTACCAGTAAGCAACTAATATACATGATTGCAGTATATTTTAGTCGTGCTTCTAAGAACCGTGACACATATATTATACGTTTATTAAACACTGTTTTAACTATAATTAACAGTGTTCGATGACGTTCTCGAAAAACCGTGTTCGTGAAATATACTCGTGAATGCTTAATTAATTAAAATATCATAATGTTATAATTACAACTTAATTGGTAATTGTGACTATCTCTCAAATTGAATTTTACTGGGAACTCGGAAATGTAGAGAATTTTTCAAATATAATAGATTGTTTGAACTTAGTGGCTAGTGCCATATTATTTGAAAATTAAATAATAGCGGTCTTAGTAACAAAAATATTGATGAAGTGAACATTGCGCAATAGGTTCTATTAAGATTTACGATCAGCAAGGAAACTCAAGTGCCTGACTCGATTTAAGTCAGTATTTAATCGTTTTAAATTTCATTTATTTACTATTTAAATTCATCGATGTGGTTCTGCACCTTACTCGCGTCTGTTTAAAAAATATAACGAAAACCTAATTCCCCTAATATATGGATCCTAATTTCATTCGACTTTACCTTGTATTTAGCCATTATTTTTTGATAATAAATCAATAAAATTTAATTATTACCTTTGTGCCCGCAAATCTTACAAAAATAAACTGCCCGTATCTATGTTTAGGCTGTGCTCTTGTGAACGAATTACCATCCACCATACAAAAAAATTGTTTCAATTTCAGTATCGCTCCAAGACATCCAAATGAGAAAGGCCTTCCGTTCGTCCCGCACTTTCCAACAACAGCTGTTCTCACGGACAACTATGCCTTCAGCGATGTTAGCTACATACGCGCGTTGCGACCGACCGCCGCCACTAGAGAAACTAAACGAGTTTAGAGATGATGGTCGAGATGCTAGAAAGTTCTACACTGATCCAGATTACTTCTTCGAACTGTGGCGCAGGGAGATGTTGCAGGATACTGAGAGGATTCAGCACGATAGGGGGAAGAAGGTAGGTGCTGTGTTTTTTACGATGCATACTTCGCATTAATCTAAAGTTTTAAGGCGTTTAACGAAATGTTAATAGTTTATGTTAGGAGGCTTAGACAAAAGGTCATTCGATTATCTTTGAAGAAAAGGGGAATTTTCATCTTTAATTTAAAAATATATATAAATAATAAAAATCAAATAAATTCAAAATTAAAAGGTATATTTCTTATCCTAAAGTTAAAAATTGTTTTTACTATTTAACTATAAGTAATTATTAGAATTTATAATATTAAATAAAAAAATATTTAAAAATGTATTTGGTATCTCACACAATAATGTCGGTATACAAAATGTCGAGAAGCATGCACACACGAACATTTTTGTTTACACAAATTTAGTATTATGACATTCCGTTAATATAGACAGACATTAGTATTTTATAATCATGAGGTACATTTATAACTACGAATATAAAAGCTTTATAAAAATTTATTAAATGCTCTCCTTAAATTTTAAATGAGTAACACCTTTGTAATCAAAAATCGAATGGCTCTATGAAATTGTATTAAATTTAATTAATTAAATGAATGACTCCCCAGGTGCGTCAGCCCCGCAGCGGCGCGGACGGGCGCGGCACGCGGCGCGTGCGCGTGCCGCACTCCACGCGCGACCGCCAGAAGGCGGAGGTGGTGACGCGCGGCGAGCACATCATGGCGCCCAACCAGCTCAGGAGATACAACATTGAACAGTATCGACCCGACCCGCTCTATCAGAGTTAGTATTACTTCACAATGTACATAGTATAAAACAAAATCGCTTCCCCCTGTCTGTCCCTATATATGCTTAGATATTTAAAACTACGAAGGGGTTTTGATGCGTTCTTTTAATAGATAGTGTGATTCAAGAGGAAGGTTTATATGTATAATACATGCATGTATAGTACAGAAAAGCCGAGAAATTCAAAGATTTGTATTTCATACCAACCGTTACAACATACTTAGGACGAACCCGAGCGAAGCTAGTACAATATATAAAATGAAATGAAACGTTATTCAAATAGACCTATTACAAGCACTTTTTAATCGTCAGTTTAAAGAGCATCAGTGTAATCAGTCCGTGAGGAAGCTACCACAGGCTCTCAAAACAGTTCTACTGAGAAGAGCCGGTGGGAAACTCAACATTTGCTCTTTTAAATATCGAAGTTACATTAATAAACATAATATTACACATACATATAGTAGGCGATTGTAGGCAAGGATGGTCAAAAAATACCAATTTTCATTGAGAATGATTTCGAAATGGTAGCAAGTTACAGTTAATTTTAAAAGCGTTTCCCGATTGTCATATAAAAGTTAGGATCACTGGGAGCGCCTCATCCCTGTTTCCCCCCGTACGTTTGCCTTGTGTAAATACATTTGTTAGAAAACTATATGCCATATAGTCCATATAGTATATGGATTAGAAGAAGTATTACGATTCTTTTGGAAAAACTAGTAGCTATTGTGGAAATAGATCGAGTTATATAAATTGGCACGTGAGTAAGGACTATATAAAAAATTGGAGTGGATATTTTTCTTTAAATTTATATGGGGATTGGGTAAATGAAGAAAGGGGGTACATGGCTAAACCCCACCAACTTGGTAGTTCGGGGTCAAAGTAAGAAACTGCATAGTCGTTCTGATAAGCTGTATAGTAAATTTAATGTCCAAATAAAAATCACTAAATGTATAATATGTACAATTGTTTTTATGTAAAATTAATATTGACAGCAACAACAGTAACCGACGGAGGATATCGAGCTCCCCAAAACCAAAGGCCGCCGTCGTCACAGCCCGCCAGACCAAACTCCATCGAAATAGAGAACCAGCAGAATAGAAGACTCACTGGGAATGGACATGGTAAATGTTTTATTATATCACGAAATATTTGGGGTTTTTTTCTACAAGTCTCCCAAATATGAGTTGATAAAATCTGTCTTTTATTTTATAAATAACAATGAAATGCTGTTTCTTTGTAAGCGTATCAATTGATAACGACTCGAATACTACAATAGTCCGAATAAGAATTTTGAGGGGAAAAATATCAATGTTGACCGGACGTTAGGCAATTCGAAAAATTCGATTTTATCGATCGATATTAGATTTGAACAACTATTGATAGTTGACAACGTAATTCGGGTCAGTCGGTTTTTATAACTACTTGCTTCCCAATACAAATTTCATCAAAATCGGTACAATAGATCCAGAGATTACCCCTTACAACGTCACAAACTCACAAACTTTACCTCTTTATAATATAGATGAATAATCATTTAAATTATAACATTCCAGTAATGGGAGAGGAGAGTCCATACGGGCCGGTAGAGCCGATATACGGCGGCAGTATCGCGGGCACGCCGCGCCGCGCGCGCCCCTCCATCCCGCCGCCCGCGCCGCCCGCGCCCCTGCAGCCGGACACGCCCCCGCACCATACGCCTACTAGGTATTTATTTTATTTATTTACTAGCAAAACCCGCGGCCTTGCTGGCGCTAAAACTACGAAAAAACTCTAAAAAAGTAGGTTTCATACAAACTGTCATCCCCTTATGAGATGAATTTTGAAAAATGCTAAAACACGTATCTATTTAATTGTATTGGAGAGCATTAATTCCAAGTTTCAAGTAATTCTGATCATAAATAATTTTTTGGGTTGTATTATAACGTGGGAATGAGATAATATCCCGCGGTCAAAAGTAGCCTATGTCACTCTCCAGCCTTCCAACTATCTTCACACAAAAAATCACGCCAATCTGTCACTTCGTTTTGACGTGAAAGAAGGACAAACAAACAAACAAACACATTTTCACATTTATAATATTAAGTATGGATGTGTGGTGTTTGTTATGTATGTATGTTAGAGTTTCCCTGAAGGATCGAATCCGAAATGAAGAGATTCGACGGAAAAGAAAGTTATCGACATAGCCCAAAGAATTAGCAAGCTCAAGTGGCAGTGGGCTAGTCACGTTTGTCGCAGAACCAATAACCACCGGTGGAGTAGACGGATTCTATAGTGGAGACCATGGTTCCGCAGATGTAGTGTAGGATGCCTTCCAGCTAAATGGAACTACAATATATGTAAAGTGGCTTTTTTATAAACGACTCCATCAGACGGCAAATTGCAAAATCGTTTTGAACTAATTTTACTTTGCCGAATTTGACCTTGATTTAAAAATAAATAAAAGGTTTTCTAAAAGTACTCATACACATCATCCTGTGTTATTTTTATCACAGCTCAATATACCTGATTTTCAAGGTCATAAGCTATTAATAATTAATTTTTAACTGTAAATCCGCTCTCGTTAGAGATACGACGATAAAAATTAGCCTATAGTATTTATCCAAAATATAAGATCTCTTTATTCCAAACATTCAAATACAGGGTGAAGGAGTAACACAACACACATACATACATACACACACACGTACATACATACATACAAACAAACAAACTTTCACATTTATTATATAAGTAAGATTTAAATGTTTACAATATTTGCAGATCAACACTGCCACCGCCTCCACCGCCGCCTGAGAGCACGTCGCCGCCGCCCGTCCTCAACGGCGCGTCGCCCCCGCACCGCACCGCCCTCGACGCACACCTCGATCAGATGCATGCTGTTATCGGTAATGTATACTTACATAAAGTACTGTTATAAATATTTTATAATTTATAACATAGTATTTGTGTAACTTTCTCAATGGTAGGTTTTTCTGTCAACAAATTCTCAGCAACAAACACCTTGGAGTTGGGACGTCTTTGGTGTTTCAACACCCTGCCTCGATAAACGCGGTTAATATCTTACAGCGATTGTTGAAACTTTATCCCAGTGGAGTATGAATAAAAGGAATAGAGAGTGTACGTCTCAGTAAGATCGACCGCCGTTGCCGAAATAAATCAGGAGGATAATATTATTATTATTTGTGTTCTGTAATACTGCACACAAAAGTTTTATTTTAAGTTTAATTGCATATGTCTATAATACATGTATAAACCACAGGGATGATGTCGAACGAGGACCTCCCACCGCGCGCTCCTACGCCTCCGCCCGCGCCGCCGGCTCCTCCCCCGCCGGAGGAGGAGCGCCCCAGGCCTCCGTCGCCGGCCTCGCTCCTGCGCGGCGCCTCCGCCCTGAAGCCCCCGCGCCCCGCGGCCGACCCCGCGCCCGATCCGCGCTCGGATCTGCTCAAGGCTATACGTGAAGGTAATACTACTTTCTTTTTTATATAGTCCGGTCGAATTAGACAAATATAGTGGTCAAATAACAAACATTCCGACAGAGCTGAAATTTAGTAGAGACCTTGGGCACACCAGTAGAAATAAAGTGTCAAAAGTCCCCGTCGATCCCATGCGTGTTAAAAAGTTATTCAAGATCAAAAGTCAAAATTACGTTTTTTTGGATTTTTCTTGAAACTGTCGGAGTTTTTGTTATTTAGTCCGGTCTATTTTGACCGGACTAATAATATATATTGTAGTTTTTATTGTATAAACATGTAACACGAAGAAATAAAAAGAAAATGACGTGTGCAAGGTGGACTTACATATCTCTAAAAGATAAGTTTCTTTGTGCTTAAAACTTTCTTAATTTTTTTTACTCTTAAATTTCTTTCTTCTTTTTAATTTTATCTTTAACGCTTTTCTAATTCTTTGTAACATAGTACCCCGTTCAGTAATATTAGAAGGATTGAGAGTACTTGATATATGTATTGGGTTTCTTTAGTCTAGTGAATATAATGTACAGCTGCTGATATGGAGGTCTTGGATTCCAATCTTGTGTCGAGTTAAGTATAGGTATTGGATTTTTCTGTCAAGAAATTTTCAGTAATATCCCAAAGGGGAGTCGGTAATCTTTCACCCCCTTGGTTCGGAGAGGATTTAGTCATTATTTAATTTTCATATTTATATTATAAATTTTAATAATAAAACATTTTATGATTTAAATATTCATGACTACATGGCACGATTATGTGCTTAGCATAGCAGCATTTACATCATTAAATGATGTTATCATAATTAATAGCTTCACGCTATGTTTTGTGGCACAAATACTATTAATTATTGATTAATTACACTTGCTATTCACTACTAAATATAATATGTTGTATGTTTGTTTGGTATTTTTTAATGTAATTTTATATTACATCTATCATACATATATCTAATACAAAAAAATAAATGACTATATTTCAGTGCCAGTTATGTTTCTGTGTTATGTTTTTTTTTTACATAACAAAATTTAAGTATAAGAAATTGCAACTTTTCAATTTAAACACAACGAATTAATATTTAACAATATAACATTTCCAATTCCAGGTATAAAACTCCGCAAAGTAGAGAAGCGTAGTGAAGAGAACACGGGCAAGTACGACACGCTGCGGGGAGTGCCCGCGTTGCTCGATGTCGCCTCCATCTTGGCGCGGCGGGTGGCGGTCGAGCAGAGTGACACCTCCTCAAACGACTCCGACTCCGACTACGATGAGGAGTGGCCAACCGACTCCCGCGCGTGACGTCGCGCCTCCCCGCGCCCCCCGCGCGACCCCACACCCCCCAACACCACCAATCCCAGTGATGGTCACATCCAAATCAAACACCCACCAACCACACAGAATGATATCACGCAAGATGAGTGCTATGTGAGAAATTCCTCATTTCTAAGTCGAGATATTGAAGCGCAGAAAATTAAAGTTGAAAAGAGCAGTCCGCCCAAAAATGTACCACCACCACGGAAGAGTAGTCTCATCAAGGAGATTTCGAAGGATGGTTCCAGCAGTTCTAATTCCCCTGCAGTTAAAACGCCGTCGCCGCCTGATATGAAAGTGTGCTCACCGCCTAAGGAGGTGGTTAATAAAATTAATCATCTTCCATCATTCAGAAATGAAGTGAAACAGATACAGAAAAGTGAAGTCATTTCACCGCCGGTTAGTAAAGTTACATCTCCGCCGCTCAAAAAGATAGTGTCGCCGCCATCGAATAGAGATTCCCCTCCTTCAACTAAAAGTGAGGTAGTTTCACCCCCATTTAATAAGGGTGTGACGTCCCCACCCATAAATTCTTTTAAGTTTAACAAAACTGATTCTAAATCAGATGAAAATATCCTCGCAAACAAGAAGAAAGAAACAATACTAGCAAAAGAAGCTCCTATTAAGTCGGAGAAACTGTCGTTAATAACAACTTCAAATGAAATTTCAGATAAAGTAACAGAGAGTGACGCTAACACTAATGCTAATAATTCTAATAATAAAACTGGTGATGTAGAAAACGGAGATAAAACTGTGAAAGTTGCCGAATCAAATGGAGTAGGAGATAAGATAAGGAAATTCGAGAAAGCAGCAGAAGATGCCAGTGCAAATGCTGGAAGGTTATCCCGACCAGGCTCAGTTCGTGGCCGCTCTCGTACTGACAGGCTTGGTTCCGATAGCAAAGAAGATCTGCCACCTCCTGCCACGCCCTTCAAAGATCACGTGTTTTTTGATCTTGGGTATACTGATAAAAGTACCACAGAACCTCACGTCCCAAACAATACAGAGCCACAAGAGAAGCAAATCGTAACTAAAGGTTTAGTAAACTCGGCAGCACTAAAATGGCAGCGTAATGAAGCACCCGAAGAGAAGATACAAAAACCCGAACCGCAGAAAATTATCAAGCCCGAGTTTAAACCGATGCCGTCTCCCGTAGACGTGACTATCAGGTCGCCCAGCCTTGGCTCTAAACTGCCAGACCAGTTTCCTTCCCATGGAACCGCTTTCCGCAATGTAGCATCCCCTGACACTGCCCGTCCTTCACACAAAGTCAACGAAGATGTAAATACTCAAAATTATAAATGTAAACTTAAAAATAAAGAGAAGTACTCCGTCAGCAAAGGGTCAAGCTACTTCACGAGAGGATCAGAAGAAATATGGCTCGTAAAGAAGAAGGATATAGAGGAAATTGAGGAGAGAGTTCTGGACTCGTTTCGTCGTGCTGGAGGGAATATGTGCATGAGAAGTGAATCGATGCGGCCTTCGTCTGATAGTGGGCAAAGCACAGCGTTTACACACGCTACAATGGGTCGTACAAAACGGCAAATGTACGGTCGGAGCGAGTCCCTAGACCCTCAGTGGGCTGGAACTAGAGCGCAAACCTTAAAACGTCAGTCTTCAGTAGCGTGCACATGCGGCCATGATAAGAAGACTCGAGCCAAAAGCGTCGACACCAACCCCCGACCCCGCTCCCGCTCACACGGCGACGACAACAACCAGGCCCATGTCCTAGACAAGTATGAGACCCTGGTATAGCCGGATCGAGTCCCCCATACATGAGTTAGTAAAGGCTGTCGCGCCGTTTTTAACCCTGTTGTATAAAAATGGCCGCGAGTTCCATTCGATGCGCTTAGTGCATGGTGTTTTGTAATTTAAAAAGGTATACGCGTAACCGTTTTCGAGTGTCGATTGTTTTTCAGAGTTTTCGCTAGGCATTAATGTATGTGGGATAGCTTTAGGAGCGATTGAACCGTTTTAATGTAAACCAAATATATAAATATTGAATCAAACTAGTTACGTGAGACTTGTAAGTAGTGGTATGACTATCCCCCTCCCTAATCATAGAGATGTAAGAGTTGGCAGATTTCGTATTTTATGTGGCGCTTGCGTTGTTACTTGTAAGTCTATTTACTTTTTAAGGATATCCCACTTTCAGTACGGAACCCCTGAGCACAATCTCCATATTTGGTGCTTTCGCTTGTTGAAATTGAATCTGTTTCTCGTAAAAATCTTTAGTGGTTGTGACAACGTGTTTGAGATTTAAATATATTTTAATTTACTTCGTAAAATGCTTTAAAGTATGTTGATTATCTTAACGTAGCTAGTCCGTTTTTGGAAAGAGATATTGATGATTTATATGACACATATTCTGCCGATAAAGTATTCTCTCGCAATATTAGTGATGGATGTTTTCTATTGACATGTTTATTAGGAATATTTGTAATTTAGAAGCCTATACTTTACACTATAGTGTGATTGTGTAATGTAATGGTAGTGAGTAAACTTAATATTTGAAAATATGCCACAGAGTATAATCATAATTTAAAAAAGCAAATTCAGATGCAACAAGTTTTCTGCAGTCTGATCTATGCAGTATTATTATGGTATCGGAATATTTTCAATACTAAATTTACTCCATACTTGTACCCTATCAAGTGTAGATTAACAGTAACATAAAAATAAGAAATCATATTATATTGTGACCTGCATAAGTAGTGCCAATAATCAAAGTTATCATTTAAATCCGTAGCTTCCATTTTATAAATTATATTCACTATAGTGTTTGGAAGTTTTAAAATTTTGTATTAGAGGACTAGCAGATAGCAGATGAGATTTTTTTTTACTTTTTTTTTTTTTTTTTTACTATTTAAGGATTGTTTTTTTTTATATATTTGTATATGCATTCCACAAAGTTCAGTTGCTCACTATGTCCCCGCAACTAATGATACTATAATGGAAAAATGAGCAACGAATGTGTACCAAATTTTTTAAATATGTAGAATTGTATGTAGCTAGGCTTAAGTTGACACTTCGTTTAAGTACCTTATAATTCTTTTATATAGTGAGCGGCAAAGATGAACTGCTTTTTCTAGATAAAGAATTAAAAACCTTATAACATGGATATGCCCTGTCTCGTATATATACTCCTGTGTTTATATTTTATATTCTGTGTGTTCCATTAGTGTATAAGGTGATTGGAAATCAAAAATCAATATTTGTACCATCTTCGTGTAACCCTCAAAAGTATTTAATCTACTCTCATCGATATTTGCATTGTCAGTACACATACGTGCGATATTGTAGCATAGTAGTATAACGTACGTATATGATCACGATTAGCGCTAAGAAATGTAAATTATAAATGTAAGAAATTAATAAAGCATGTTTTATATTTTGTAGATTATGTAAACGTACGCTCCTTTATTTTGCCATATTTCGGCAAACGCTAATTATTTATTTGCATTTTTTACCTTTAAAGTTTATAATTTTAATGTTAAATATGAAGCAAGTTGTTATATTCGCTGAAATTGAATAGTCCATGTAATATATGACATTTATTGTTTTGTGGGTTATCTATCAATATCAATGCAATGGACGTTGAGTTAAATATAAATCTATTAATAATTACAGCGCGTGTTATTTCGTAACTGTAATATCATAATTATTTCGAACAATATTATAACCCATATTGCAATTAATGTAAACTAAGCTGAAGTGCTTCATAACCCGGACTAGTGTCATTTCTATTAAGAAAATATATAAATTATTTTATAACTTGTTTATTTGCTAATACAATAAAATATAAAAAATACTGTTTTATTATTTACCATTTCCTAAAGAACAATATATCATTTAATATTAATCGTAAAGGGTTGTATTTTAAAAATGTATAAATTAAAGTAAAAAATATGGTCCTATTACTTTTTTAAAACAATAACATAAGCTCATCGTTACATTGGGCCTTTTCCAATTGCACTAAAGCGCATTATGCGGCATAAAGCTCAACTTCGAATTTTTCAACTACAGCAACGCTCCGCACAATCGAGCACTTTGAAAATTACTGCGTTGGCGTGACCAACCAACTCAGTAGCAGAAAATATAAAAAGTGTTTTTTTGCGTTTTAGTGTTTGTGTGCCAAAGTGCGGCATTATGTCTGTTATTGGAAAATATCTACCCATTTTGTCCTCGATAGTCTCCTTCAACCCCGGCCGAGCTCCATACAGGCGCATATTCATAAAACCGCGCGAATAAGACAAAGCGGGGGCCGGGGCCGGTCAAGATAGTCAAAGAAAGATTTTTCCCTATTTACCATTACAAATAATAATATAAAAAAAAATAGTTACATGGGATATGTTAATTAATATTTTATTATATTATAAAATATACTAAAGTTAAATATGCATAAAATGTTTTATTTTTATATATCATATGTGCTATATATTGCCCTCACACCCTAGTCCCCAGGGATGAGTAATAACAACGGCTAAAACTTGAAAATTTCAAAAATGACAAAATGTTATACACAACGTCACAGTACTGACGTATGTAACTGCGACAGAAATAAGTTGTTGTCCCACTCGTTGTCGCCAAATGTAGAGATAGCATGTTAATTACCAAACAAATGAAAGGGATAGATCCACCACGAGCTTGTATGGAACTAATTCATGAATTTTATTTGTCATCCATGGTCTCCTTAATGTGGTCTCCGGCCACAGACAATATAACCTAAAAGTCTGTGTCTCCGGCGGAATTCTGCATGTTTTATTTAAATATTTATTGACAAATGTGACAAGCAGTCCTAAAATACGCAAAGGATACGTTCAAACATATGTGCAAAGAATTACTTTTCTTTGCAATAAAATTAGCTGGAATGAAAGATTAAAAAACTTTTTTATAATTAAGTAAAGTAAATAGAATATTCACATATTTTAAAACCCTGAAATATATTCTCTAACTTCAATTTTATGTTCTTGCTCATTTATCTATTAAAAAATAAACGCACTGTTTCTACGTGCGGGTTTAAGCCGTACTAATTGTTATTTCGTTTTACGTAATACTTTTCTCATTTTAGTCAAAATATGATGTCTTAATAATTTGTTTCATAATTATTAAATTATAATTTTTAAATTAAAAGAATCTTTTATATATGGAAAATATGTATTACAAGCGACTATTTGTTTTAGCATGCAAATATAGTGAAAAGTTGTTAAAATTATTGTATGAAAAATTTTACTAACAGTGAATGGAACGTACCTAATGTTCAATTAACAATTTAGTTTGTTTGATTGGCAGACAGTAGAAATTGCTTGTTGTAATGTAATCTTAAATTAATACAAAGCATATTTTTTCATTTTATTTCTTCGGTTATTCAATGATTTCATCAAATTTCTATATAGTATTATACTGTCGGATTTAAGAAAATTAAGTTAGTGTAAATTGAATTAGTGTCTTCTTTTATTTTGGCGCCGTTGCATTATATTTTATTAAGAGTGGAGTCGTTACAATATATTGCAAAATGACTTCAGCTTTATATTTGGAGCATTATTTGGACAGCTTGCAGCATTTACCAATAGAACTACAAAGAAATTTTAAATTAATGCGGGACCTCGATGATCGAGCGCACGGTCTAATGAGGACAATTGATCTTATGGCCGATGAATTGCTGCCCAATATTCCGAAAATGGATGAAGAAACGAAAAAAGAAAAGGTAAATACTATTCAGGGATTATTTAACAAAGCTAAAGAATATGGAGATGATAAAGTGCAACTCGCCATACAAACATACGAGCTTGTAGATAAACACATACGTCGCCTTGATTCTGACCTCGCACGATTTGAATCTGAAATTCAGGAGAAAGTAATGAGTTCTCGAGCAGCGCAACAAGCTGCCGCGGACCAAGAGTCTAATCCAACTACCGTTAAAAAGGGAAGAAAAAAGCATAAGGGTAGTGAAAAAGCTGCAGCAACAACAGGTAAGAAAAAGCGTCCGGGCGCATCGAGCGAAGAGGACGCGGTCGCAAGCGGTCGGTCTGCAGCTAAAAAGAAGACGCAACGAAAAGGTGCTACAACTACAGCCATTGCTGTTAAGGAACAGGAGGAAAATGCGGATCTGGACTCTGTAGCGGGCATGGCTCATCCTAGTGATGTGCTTGACATGCCTGTCGACCCTAATGAACCAACATACTGCCTTTGTCATCAAGTGTCTTACGGCGAGATGATAGGTTGTGATAATCCAGACTGCCCTATTGAGTGGTTCCATTTTGCTTGTGTAGATCTTAAAATTAAGCCAAAAGGCAAGTGGTACTGCCCTAAGTGTACTCAAGACAGAAAAAAGAAATGATCCACAGTTAAACCACCTGTTAAACCAGCAGAAAAGACTGTGACAGTAAAGAAAGAAACAAAGTGATTATATTAGGTTTTAGGCATAGTATCTAATATAACATATTGTTTTCTATTAAAGTATATAATATGGATTAATATAGAATTAATTTATTTTTAGTGTAAATTGAGCAAATTAATCTAAGAGTAAATTAAATTGGAAAGATTATGCCTATAATATAGTAAATATTCAATAAGCAATACAATATGTGTTTTGATGGATGAATATTATGTTATAAAACTTTGTTCGTAGGATTGCTAAATTAGAAGTAACTAGAATATAGTTAAAATAATATTGTTTACAAAATCAATTATACATATATAACATTTAGACAGTGTTTGAAAATGATGTGTATTAATTAATTTCAAAATACTGACGAACCTTGAATTTTAGTGCTTCCATTGCTAATTCAATTATACATTATCTCTAATATTGTATGTGATTAATAGTCACATTTTTATGACAAATAGGTTCAATAGTAGAGTGGAGATTAAATGCAGTACTTATAAGTTACTCAAGTAAAGACTGAGATTAATTCTAAATCAAACATGTTTTTAACATTCTATATAAGTCAACGAACAGGTGATTGTGCCGACATCATTTCATTCATATATTTGAATTAAAAAAAAGTCACATAGAAGGTTTATGAACAAATTTAATACATTTATAGAAAAAAATATGTGGTTCAGTAATTACTGTATGAAATTAACATAATTGGTTCAAAATTTTGTTTCTTAATAATCAATAATTTTGGGTTTGTCAAAATCACAATTTAAATATTATATTTAAATATTTTATAATAAGTACAAAATGCATTATAATATTTACCCAAATGAAAACACCAATCTATGTGAATCGGTAATGATATTTTATTATCAATAAATCCATTAAAATTAGAGTAAGTGTTTAAAACAAATGGAAATAGGCAGCTAATGTTGTTTTTATAGTTGGAACCTTATATTGTTATTTATGTACAAAATGCTATAATAAATTAAAAACTTAGTAGTAATAGAATTGTTCCCGTTAATACACATTGCTTGTTACTTATTTCACTAACAAAATTTAAAGGGCTTACAATAAGATTCATTAAAGTGTGCATTTACTAATGATTATCATTAAATGAATCTTTCTCTTTTTAATGAATGAATTAATTATAATTAAGGATTCTATTTTATATTATTGGACTTAATTTATTCAGAGTTCTTTAATTTTCTTTGCATTAACAATGATTATGAGGCTGTTGGAGGCAAAAGTGAAAATTTAGTAGATAAATTAGACTTCCTATGTAAAGTTTTTAGAGTTTTGCTAGACTATAGAATATGAAAAATTTAAATAATATATTTATTACTATTTTCAAACACACGCCATATATGTAAGTCTCAATTGTAGAAGAATTAAGCTTTACATTTTTATATGAGCTATGTCACGCTGTACTGTTCAGTATGATATATAAATTGCACTTAAGGTCATAATATGAAAATTAGGTACCAATTATTGTTATAATATTATAAGTTATACAATGCCAATATCTATATTATTTATGTTATTTTTATTACACATAATGAGATGAAATCTTTGTTTTATTTATTTACACACTTTTATATTACAACAAATAGTTTATTTTTAACTGTGCTTATAGTTTTTGTAATTTTTTAAATTAGTATTTGCTGTTTAATCTATCTACTCTATCGTCGACGTTTCAAACAGTTATGCTGATTTGTTTTTGTATAATTACAAAATAATTTATAATTTAATCGTGCTTATAAATTGCGCGTCAAAAGCAGCAGCTCAACATATTCTATTTATTCAGTATAAAAATTATAAAGTATGAGTGTAATAACTATTTTTTTACTTTTATTATTTTTTATAACATTGAGATTCAAAAAGTCTTAAGGCAAGCATATTAACAAGATGAATACATACATATTTAGATAACACAAATATTTTCCCTATTTATTTGTTAATCAGACAATATTATTTTAAACGACGTGTCGAATAACTATTTTAATATAGAAAGCAGGCTTCACTAGATGGCGTTACAATTAAAAATTTAGATACGTTTGAAGTATTCAAAAATTAAACCTAAATTCCTAACAATGGTGTCTAAAAAAACTTTTTAACAAAAAAATAAAAACCGATTTCAAACAAAAGCACTAAAAAGTAACAAATAACTGATTGGTAGTTTTCATTTACTATACATACCTAATCAAATATTTTCGAAGTCGGTGTGCTTTGGCTAAGTAATTAAAGCCTACCTATTAAATACATACCTAATCAAATATTTTCGAAATCGGTGCCAGCCCATACAAAGCTAAGCACACCGACTTCGAAAATATTTGATTAGGTATGTATAGTAAATGAAAACTACCAATCAGTTATTTGTTACTTTTTAGTGCTTTTGTTTGAAGTCGGTTTTTATTTTTTTGTTAAAAAGTTTTTATTTTTCCCTTTTTAGTGTAGACAGTAGTAGCAAAGTAAGGATTCTAACGTGTTAGGCTTGTCAAATCAAACAAAATAAGCCCAAACTCAAAGTATCTACTATTAGCCGTTGAAGAGTTCCACCTATCCACCTTCTGGCCTTGCCATCAGATCAGGTCAACAACACCGAACCACTGTACTATCAACGGAAATAGAAATACTTGCAAAGTTTCAAGTCAATATGACAATTAGAAGTACGTTAAATTCATCATTAGTTGTTTTTCCACCCTTAGGGGTGGTATTTTTTTTTGAAATTTAAATGGGACCAATCTGGAAGTACACCCTTTCAAACAAAACAAAAATTGTCCAAATCGGTTAATAAATGACGGAGTTCTGAGGTAACAAACATAAAAAAAAAAAAACATACAGTCGAATTGAGAACCTCCTCCTTTTTGAAGTCGGTTGAAAATAGGCATGAAAATATATTTTAGAATATAAAATTCAAAAGAAGTAAATTAAAAAAAAAGATTACAAGAAAATTGTAGAGCACGGAGAGTACGTTTAAGGTCCATTATCACTAAATGTGCTTTAAACTTTAAGTAATTTTGAGTAAGAAGGTAATTTGCATTAATCTATACATATAATAAAATTGTAACTAGCCGAATCTGTACATTAAATATTTTTTGGAAAATCTTATTGAAATAGACATTATATTATCGATACAGAGGCCGAATCTATAGTTTTTTTAAAAATTGTTTGTCTGTTACCGCATCACGGAAAAACCACTGGAGGGATTTTGATGAAATTTGGTATGATGATAGCTGGTTATCCGGGTCAATATATAAGATACTTTTTACAGCGGGAAAATATCTCATTTCTGAGAAATCGACACTAAACGTTAAAACGTAAGTAGAGACGAAACCGAGCGAAGCGATGGTGAGTCGCTAGTAATAATAATAATATCGTCGGGAGGCATCCGGCTTTATCGCACGAGAGGTCAGCCGTCCTACAGAAGGTCTGCCTCGTTAGGCCAACCATCGGGTTGTCGTGGTTGAGTGCGTAAATCATCCTGCGGCGACGTTTTAAGATGGGGAAGTTCCCGTTGTGTTTTCTTGGGTAGTACTTATAGATATATACTGGCTCTTCTAGCAGGTGAGTCCTGAGTTACCATACAACAGAGAGATGATATACGCAAAGGAATTTCCCAATGTTAAAGATACTCCCTGATTTCGTTATAATTTATCTTTATTTCGTCATAATATTTAGACTTATATTAGGGGCCGCGTCTCATACACTAAACAGTAAACTTGCGCTAATGATTTTCTAGAATATAACACACTTTAGAGAAGAAAGTATTTGCCTTTGTGCTATTTCTGTAAAAATAGACTAATTTTATCCAAAAATAGTCTATTTTTAATATTGATATTGTGTTATTAATCTGTATAAACATTATAAATGTGTAAGTTTGTGAGTATGTATGGATGTTGGTTACGCTTTCACGCCAGAACGGCTGAACGGATCTGAATGAAATTTGGCACAAAGAAGGATTATAATCTAGAATAACACATACGCATATGCTAGTATTTTATCCCGGAAAATATACGGTTCTTAAGGGATAGACTTGTTTTTGCTTATCTAGATGCGAACCCGAGCGAAACGAGGTTGAGCCGCTAGTTTGTCATATTATACTTACTTATGCAAAAGTTAAAATTAAATAAACTATCTATAGTTCTGCTGAGTTTCTTTCGGCAGTTCTTAGAATTATAGCATTTAACGTTGCGTCAATATTAAATAAAACAAATAACATTTTTTTCTTCTCCATTCGACGTGACATATGCATAGTAATCTGTGCTCTACTGGCACGCTCAATTTACCTAAACAAATAAGTATTTAGACAAGTGTAAATACATTCAGTCATCCACACTAATTGGATAATTAATGTCTTTCTATAGCACTCAATAGGTTAGCAAACTAAAAGGATAAAGTCAGGCAATACATTGTCTTAAATCGTTTCATCTATATATCCATGTACATATGTGAAGAAAGAAAAGGAAGTGGACGTAAAACAATAATTGTTTTTATTATTTACTCTCACTGAGATTACTGCTGACTCGGTAGACAAGTCTCCTACATAGGTGCACGTACAAGTATTACAGATTTTGATTCAGAGAGAACCAACACAAGCGCGGATCCAGTCCTCAAAAAAGGTTGTGTTCACAGCAACCCTCAAAATGGCTAAGTACGTATCGGAGTAGCGACTTACTCATGTTCAATAAATAAATATTTTGGGACATTGACACACAGCGCCATCTAGTTCCATGATAAGCTACGAGGCTTGTGTTATGGATACCAGATAGTTGATACACTATACATATATAACTTTAAATACATACATATCATAAATAAAAGCACCCATGACTGGAGTACAAACATTCGTGCTCATCACACAAATGAATGCCCCCAGCGGGACTCGAAGCCGCGACCGCTGGCACAGTAAGTAGGGTCACTACAAACTGAGCCACACGCGTCGTCGAATATATTTAATTTCTTCTCTTCATTTCTTTCTGGCCTGACTTAAGTATTTGTAAAAAAGCTTTTTTCTTCATTTATTAAGGCATTGGATATAACATCTCGATAGGCTTAACGAACTCAATTAAGATTGTGGGCATACCCACCGTGCCCATAACGGTGGATCCGCGCTTGAACCAAATCCGCTTAATCAATAGCGATTACGAGCTTAAAGCGATTTTATAGACAACGCGTTGTATTTATGACTTTATATTTATGTTTCAGACTAAAGAATTATATAGAAGGATGATTCCAAAAAAAAGAGTCAAAAATAGTAGCATGATTTTGCTATTTATCCTACTATACTCGATTTTGTCATAGAGATAGTTTACATTCTTCAAAGTATAAGAAAAATTTTATACAGATATTAGTCGTTACTAGTTAGGTATTAGTCGTTAATTTATAATTGAAAACAAAATATTAATGGTAATGAATTATAAAAATATTACTCTTATACATACAAATAAGTTATTGTAAAAATAAATTTAATGCTCTATCACATATGTATGTGATACACTATTCCAGACATTATACAGGATAAGAACTACTGAGAATAGGGTATATGAATGATTTAAAAAAAATATATACAATAGCTAACATCGTTATATAATTATAAAAAAACACCAGCTCCAAAAAACTAAAATTTAGTATAAAAAAATATTTAAAAACACCATATCGATATGGATACTTTAAAAACCCGACATTTCGCGTTTGGTGTGACGTCACAGTATGATTTATACAGAAAAATTACGATTCAATTTGTTGCACTAATGGTTTGACCAATGGCGTGCGTTTCAACTACTTTGAATTTCCCACCTATATTTGCACTTTTTAATAATTATTTTCTTAATCAAAAAGAAACTACATAAAAAAATATTGATATAGGCTTAATTCAAAAGCAATAAAGATTGTAAATAAAACTATTTCACCTTTGTTTAGCTTGTTTAGACGATGAAATATTATGAAGGGTCTCATACAATTTTCTTAGCAAATGATGCAAGAATCTGCGTTGATCGATCATGTTTGATGCAACAACGGAGCTTTTGCTTGCAGATCGGGTTTTACTCGACCTCACCGTTTTTTACCACCAAATAATTACGTTTTAATGCACGAACAGGGTTCAACGTAACCTAACATTACAATTTAGGCCTCAGAATTTCGTTCCCATGTATAATGTAAATAAATGGAATAATCACATAAGTGCTTGTTTTTATGATTTAGTGATTTTAAATATTGTATAATTGTTTTATGTTAAATATGTTTTATTTACAAACAATATGTATATATGTTTCTATTATTTATAGTACTTGTTAAAGTTTAAGTTAGGTACTGGATCCTGTGACGAATGTATCGATTTTAATGATGGTTACGCTTACTACGCTTAGGTTTTACTTAATATTAGTTAAAAAGTTTAGTTTTTGTTTGTTTTGGAATTAAAAGTCCGAATTAAAAAATTCTATAACAATTTATATCTTATTTGTCGAGGGAGTTTTTCTTCTTTAGCATAATTACCGCATTATAGCACTTAAGAGCGGAGAAACTATAAATAATTAAACTACACGAGCAGAGCCGCGAGTAAAACCTATGTATGACATAAGAGAATGTGTAAGCGAGCAAACTGTAATACAGAAAAATTAAAAAACCCGACTGCGTACTCAAAAGGTTATTAAATGCGCCTGATCAGTTTATAGAGGTACAAGACTTTAGAAATAATTTGCTATGTAACTTTTTAACAATAAAAACTTAGAAAATATTTATTTATTTTATGGTCAAATCGAAATTTTTATTAGCTTATTTTTATACAAAGCTAAGGTAAAGTTACGTGCATATATTTTTAAGTTAAATATTATGATAATTGTGTAAATGGCCTAAGTAGAATTTGAAAAAATGTTTTTGGGTACATACCTATCGCGTTACCTAATATTTAAACAGCATGAATTTAATTTACTATACTTCTTCGAATATTTTGACGGAAAGATTGTTTTAGTAATAATATATACTTATGTAGCGGTCCTGTATCGCATGCCCATATCAAAGGGTTGTTCCGCGACTCAGTTGCAGTTATCTGTAGAGCGCGCGCGGGAAAAGTTGCGTCTTATATATTTTTTTAAATTTCTACAAAGTTATAGAACAATATCATAATGACTATGCTTCTTAGAAAAATGTGGAAAAATCATTCAAAGCACAAAAGTAAGTAATATTTTAATTTCGCTCTTTTGTATTTTTCTTTACTTATTTATTTAAAAATTAATAGGTAAATTATAAAATAAAATATTACATATATTTTCTATATTTTATTTTTAAAATCTTACACATATTTTTAATAGCGTCAATTAACTTAAAGTATTTAGTCAATCACTACATTATTATTGAAATAATAAAAAAGAATATTCTATCCGAAAAAAATATTTTAACGTTATTTATATTTTTTATAATTTCAATTTAATTTCTTTCTAATTGCTTTGGAATTAAAACTTATAGCACGCGCTTTTCTCATAGTTTCTAGGGATTAGAAAAAAGTTGTTGTGTAAGTTTTCTGTAAGAGTCAGGTATCAGCATTGAGCTTAGATTTATGTGATTAAAGATTAAATGAATGCAGTCTAGTATTAACGCAAAAAGAAAAGTGGAACGACATTTTATCTACGTTGTAATCAATAGAAATAATGCTCAGGTATAATAATATGAAATGTATAATTTGACTACATACTGGGTGAATACTTCTGTTAGCAAAAGACATTTTGTAATAGTATCTATTAATTTTAGAATTATTTTACGATATTAGGAATAAAATCTATTTATTTTCTATTAGTATTTATACTTAAAATTTACTTTGAAAAACGATTAGGTACATAAAGAATAAATTATTTTATAAATAAGTAATTTCTCAATATATTTGAAGTAAATGAAATTTTAATTTAGTATGGTAAATTTTTTATTAGCTGATAAAGGCTATTTTTCAATTAAATATGAATATAAAACGATTGACAGTTCAATTACCCAAACTTTATTTTCTCTTGTCTGAAAAAGAAAATTATCTTCAAGTTACCTACAGCCTTCGAATACTTCATTAGTAAGAATTTAGTACAAATATTCAGAGATTGCTTTCTCTAAATGTGGTTGAAGTTATTTTTCATTTGCCAATTGCTTGGCACTTGGAAACACTGTCTCCAGGACACACCTAAGTCTGAGCAAGTTTTTGTGTTCGCAAGCAAGTTAGCTTTACCAGCATGGGCTAACATGCTTCCCATGTACGGGAATGACTAACATACATCGCTACACTCTGACTTACATACAGTGAGATGCTTTTCCTTATTATTTAATGGAAATAAGTAAGTAAACTAGAGTAAAATTTTATTATGTTCTCGATCCTACTCAGTTTTGTCGACAAATATAACTGCCATGCCTACTATTTCAAAATATTAAAATTCTCAAAGTTTGCTCATAATTTATCAAAAATTGATAAAGTTAGAAGAAAATAAATATTAATTCATATTTTTAGGTTTTCTATTCTATTTTTTCAAAATAATATTTAAAAATTCTAGGCATGGAAACAAAATTTTATTTGTCTTTAAAGAATTACACGAGCAATTCATTTATTCGTTATTTTTAATATCAAGTTATTAATAAGAAAGGCCAGGAATTATTGATTGGGGAAAAAAACTCTTAAATGTATGTACAATTGGTACATATGTATAAAATGTGTAACCTATTACAGATTCCACTTTATGTTTTTTTTTTGCGATATTGTTAATTTTCCACGGACAAGCCAAGCTCCAATTTTATGCCCTATATTTAAATCTTATCATCGTGTATAACTGGCATAGAATTTATTATTAAATTGCGAGCGACCTACTCTCAGGCGCATCCCTATGAAGGTACCCTAAAAGTAGCCTATGATTTACTCCAGGTCATAGTTTATCTGTGGGCTAAATTTCATTCGAATCCGTTTTTTTTTAAATTAAAGAAATATGTACATACAATTACATATATGATGCTTATCATTTCATGAACTCCACATTAATTATGGCTATGCTCATATCTTTATAATATATCCTCGTGGCGAAATGTGACACGTGTCTGATTTATGTTAGGGCGGAGGTCGCAGGTTCTTGCAGTAATTTAGGCATCATAGTTCATAGATATGTTTCAATGTGCATAATATAGGGAAATGGATTTAGAATTTTAAAGCTAAACATGATTTAAAATGGAGGTTTAAAGATATTCTAGGTGAAAGTTGTTTTTGAATCCCTTTACGACCGCGGACACGCCGGCGTGTCAGTTAACAATAGATTTCTTAGAATTTATATTAATTTCTTAGAAATTTACTTGGAGGTGCTCATATGGCAATATTGTCTTATATACAAGATTTAAATATTACCTTATTTTTGTTGTCTATACCTATAGATAAAAAAAATTAAATGTCTATACCTAATGTCAAAATAACAGCTTTTTACTCAATTATTATGTTAAATTATATACGATACTTATTAGAAAACACAATTTTAAAATTTTTGTCTGTCTGTCTGTCAGTCTGCCCGTCTGTTTGTTCCGGCTAATATCCGAAACGGCTGAACTGATCATGACGGGACTTTCACTGGCAGATAGATTTATTTTAGAAAAAGGTAACTTTTATTTTAGAAAAAGAATTAGGATTACGCTCAAAAAAAATACATACCTAGGGATCGAGCGAAGCAAGGGTAAGTCGCTAATTTATTTAATATTTTACAAATAAAAATACAGTAACAATTATTGCGAGTATTTTTTTCTAAAAATATAGAGTTCCTAGAATTCTAGTTTCAGCTAACAATGTACAATGTACCTACATCCTTTCCAAGGCTAGACAGTCCCAATTTGATAACATTTGCAATTTGCGTAGCAATCGCGTAATTTGTAAACATGAATGAAAGATAAAAGCGTATGATCCACATTTTAATAAATTAAACGAATTTTAGGACTACTCGTATATTATACTTTAATAGGTACATAAATAAGAAAATATCACTGAATAGATATTTTAAAATAATTAAAATTCTTCATTTACCGTTATTTCTATGTCTCTTACTGACGAGAAAAATTATATAGACTTTGACACATTTGTACACAGCTTTCTACTAAGCAAAAAGGCATCCGTTTAGCCCAGCAGTACCTACTTTCTAGCGCGGCGTCAACAGACTTTTATCTAGGGTTTATGAACGTCGTAATTATAACTGTTAACATCTCATCGGTAAAGATTTATTAATATATATTTTATTTTTATTATTTATATCTTATTTTGCCGACGGACGATAAGGAGAACCAATCAATATACAATTATCTGCTCATTAATTTTATTCTATGACTATATTATATTTTATGATATATATATATATATATATATATATATATATATATATATATATATATATATATATATATATATATATATATATATATAATAAAATAATTATATGTATAGCTTTCCCACTTACAAACAATCACAGCATGCACCATAGTAAAAGTAAAAACAAAGTATAGGTACCCATAAAATAAAATAATGATAAATGCCATACAACAAGAACCAATTAAATTAATTAAAATAATAGGCAATTAAAACAATACATTAAATTAAATGAAATATAAACAAAAAATTTCATCATCACACTGAGTCATAAAACTTACTATATTTTTAAATATTATATTAAATGTGTCGTGAGCAATGTCTAATCTAAGTTACAGATTAGATTCGTCAGTTGGTTGTGAGTAGGGTTGAAGCTTCGCTGTTGGAGAATTCTTGCCTAAGTCGCTCCTGTAAGCTTTCAATGATTTTTGATATTGCGGTATTTAATTCTTCAATAAGAAATTCAAAATTCAAACATAGTATTTTATTGAGCACTAGCATTGCCCGCGGCTCCGCCCGCATTCAGATGACCATCAACCAAATTCTTTGGTTTTTACATATTAGTATACTCTTACATTGCAGTTTTTGTATTTTTTCTCAGAAATGAGATATTTTCCTGCGGTAAAAAGTATCCTATATGTAGACCCGGATAACCAGCTATCATCATACCAAATTTCAGCAAAATCCCTCCTGTGGTTTTTCCGTGATGCGGTAACAGACAGTCAGACAGACAAAAATTCTAAAAACTATAGATTCGGACTCTGTATCGATAATACAATTTTATTATATGTATAGATTAACAAGTAGACGATTCGAACAAGAGTGACTATGGTCTATGCCATTTCATACCATCTCGTGACATGAGCGCGTCACCAGCGAAGGCTAGCACAATGAAATACCGATCAATTACCAAAAATAATGAATAACGGAAGTAGCAAATAAGAAATTGTGCGTACTTAAATATGTTGTGGGTAGGTACATCACGATTCTCGACAGACGATAACGCTATCGATGTAGGCACAACGACAAAAAATTGATCTAAATAATGTATATATGTATTCGGCCCTTTTTAACGTCCCACTCCTGGGCACGGGCCTCCCTATAATAATCCCGGGCCAAGTGCGGGTTGGCGGATTTCACGTGTCTTTCGAAAACTTGCTAGGTCCTAGGTTCTCGCAGACATGCAGGTATCCTCACGATGTTTTCCTTCATCGTAAGGCAAGTGGTAATCATGTTAGAATGATTCGCACATGAAGATATCAGAGTCACGATACCCTGGATTTGAACATGCTTCACTCGGTTTCCAAAGCGAACGCGCTACCACTGGGCTACTACTGCCTAATATATCTAAATAATATACATATATTATATTATGTTGTATTAATAATTAATCTTTAATAAACGTATAATTATCCTTAAGAGTTATGCATGATGCCAAAATAAAAAAATGAAAAAATTACTCTGTCTATCGGTTTGTTACAAAAGATTGTCGTTGTAATTTGGCAAGGACATTGTTTGCATTGTCTTTTAAACCTGTCCCTTTTACCATGCAAGCGGAGCCGCGGATAAAAACTAGCAAAAATAAACATTTCTAAATCAATGAAAGAAATAGGTTACAATAATAGTAAAGTGTATGTAGTATATCAATTATTACAATTAATTTTAAATTTTGAAGTGAAAAAAAAGAAGGCGATAAAAAATCAAATTAAGAGAATGCCAATGGTAAAAACACGTAAAACCACGTAATTATTCGTACGTCCAAAACTTAAATTTCCACGAAAAATTAGAAAAAATTAACCATACAAAATAAATTAAACCTTAGTATGTATCGATAACAGTTCGTATTATATTTAGGGCTATTTCATAAATCTATATCGGTTAAGTTACTCGGAGTCAGTATCGATAGTTAGTTATAAGATTATTATTATATTATTATTACGTGACCTGCTAGTATTGAAATTGCGCCTAATATACTGACCTATGGCCTATTTCTATTATCACCCGTCTGGCCTAGATAATGTCGATAAATACTTTAATGCAAAATGCGAGAGAGTTTCGCGAATATTTTTCTGAGACAAATTTTATGTAAATAAGTTATTAAAATAACTTAGGTCATGGTGATGGTCGTCAGATATTTTTAAATGAGCAATTATGAGTTTTTGTTTTTTAAAATATTTAAGACTTTTTGAGTTTATAACTCTAGTCCGTTTCATGAATTTGAATTTATGTATTTGTTACATATAGTATCGCAAAAATTAAAAGAAAGCTGCAATTTTTTTCCTAATTACTATAATTAATGTAAATTGGTTTATAATAATTATTATTATTAATAAAAATAATATATGTATTATTATTATTATTTAAAAAAAAAACTAAAAATATGCTTTAAGCCAACTCATCAAGACTTCTTTGTATACTTAGAAGTTATTGAATAATTCCACCACACCACATTTAACTACCTGCTGGCTTAAATCATCTCGTCAGTGTCAAATATTAAAATCGATCTCCAATATTTGTAAACATACCTATTTACTTAAGGAATGAGGTGAATGTAATAAAAACGTTTATATTAAAAAAATGTGTTTGTGTATTGTGTATGGTGTATTTTTGCCATTTTAGTATGTTTTATCATTTTGTTATCTATTAGGTATAGGTTAGGGTTTTATTTTAAGATTGTACAGTAAAAAAATGTATCTAGTCTTAATCTTATGAGATTAAATTGTTCTATAGCAAATATTGGACTTCAACTAAATTTTATATCGGTATACTAATATTATAAAGAGGTAAAGTTTGTGAGTTTGTGACGTTGTAGCCTGTAGGTGGTAATCTCTGGATATACTGAACCGATTTAGGTGAAATTTGGTAAGAAGATATTAGAAGAGAAGGACATAGGATACTTTTTATCCCCCTCCCCAACGTGCGTTCACCTTGTCGTGGTGGGGGGGGGCTCAGTAGTGCCCGGCAATCCAACCGGGCGCGAAGCCAAGAAACGCACAGGGAGGCGGCCCTCTTCGGAGGGCGGTGTGTCATGCGGGTTGCTCCTGGTACTTCTCTGATAGCAGAGTGGACTGTGGAGCAACCCCGTGGTTGTTGTGGTCTGCTTCGGCAGACCTGCCGTCGGGGCGTCGTAGTTGAATGCGTAAGCGATCCTGCGACGCCCCATTAAGACGTGGGAAGGCTTTGTTGGGTTTTAGTGGGTAGTACTGGCTTTGCCGGTGAGTCCCACACCTCGTGCGTAAATGCATTTCCCAACATTAAAAAAAAAAGGATACTCTTTATCCCGGGAATCATCCTTTAAGGGGGTGAAAATGGGGATGAAAATTTGTATGGGGAATCAAGCTAGGAACGAACCCGAGCGAAGCGATGGTAAGTCGCTAGTCTATAATAAAGATAATTTAGAGCAATTGCGATATAGAGCGCAATGCAATAAATATAAAATTGTAATTCGCCTTCATTATTACACCCTGTTGCAAAACACTTGACTCAGTTTACCCTAAACCCTCAATTATGGTAAATTTAGTGCAATAAATTCTTGTTTCATTACGCCGGTAAATTAGATAAATTATTTAACTATTGGCGCTTGCGGCTCAATATTACTCCAACTTTGATTAAAGTATAAGCAGTTTTTTTATATTAGCTTATTTTGCTTGGGAATTATGATTTTTTAATAAATTATTTTTATTAAATATTTATGATATGTTAATATTTTACTGTTCTTTTATTAATATTGTTAAATAAAACCACCTTTTCGGTTTGTTTCTATGTTTTGTTTCGTTGTCTATAATACCTACCTTTGAGACGTCTACAACGAAAAAGCATTCAAAATGTCAGGAACAAAAAATGTAAAAAAATCCGAAAAGATAGTTTTATTTAAAATGTGTGCAATATTCGCATAATTCTAAGAAAATATTAATAATGTATTTTTAAAATTTTGTTAAATCTCCAAGAAAGCTTTAAATTTTTAAATTATATACAATTCTATAAAAACTTCTAATACAGGTATTTCCTATTGAGAACATTACCTGTACGATAAGAGTCTATTTTTCAGAACTTTGTTTTTTGTATAGGAAAATTACATCTAAAATGTCACAATTCAAGACATAGTGTACGTTGTTAGGCTTTGTCTTTTAGAAAGTGAGGCTTTCATCTACAGTTCTTCTACTGTGTTATGGCGATAAATATATCTCTTTCATCTTATTACACAGACGGACAGACATTTTTTTAAAATAATAATTGTTTGGACTGCGGTTACGTACAATTTAAGTACGTCAAATTAAGTAAGAGATAAGTTAAATATGTTAGTTATAATTATTGTGAACTAAATTTTTAAATATCTTTAAAAAATAAACATTTTATTTAGTTGTTTTGGCTTCAAATAAGAAGTAGTTAAAGTAAGCGTAAGAAAATTTAAAGTTATAGTATTATTACATTCAATATTCACTCTGAAACGATGAATTGCACAATTATGTTTGATTATAATAACAGTTTATTGCTAATAATGATATTATTACGCGGCCATAAAGGAAATCGTGGCAGTTGCGATTAGCTTATCGCGGTCGTTCACTACGACGATTTGTGCTTTCTATTATGTTATAAGATACTTTATATATATTTTTTCACATAATATATATGTATAATAAATATATCATGTACTTTTGTTTGTTTTGTTAATTTTACACACATTTTTAAGTCGACTACTTACGCATGTGTGTCCTTTCGGCGGCTCTCCTGAACATACTAGGTAATTGAAATAAATATACCTATGTGAAACCATTAGGAATTTATTAATATCAAAAATAGACTCTGTATAAAATAATAAGATTAAGTTTATATTAACAGAATACTTCAGCAGTAGGTACTTAGTTAGTTTTAGTAGTAATTGTATTTGTATATTAAGATACATATGTGAAACTAGCATTGCCCGCGGCTCCGTCCACGTTCAGATGACCAAAAACAAAATTCTTAAGTTTTACATATTAGTATACTCTTACATTGCAGCTTTTGTATTTTTTCTCAGAAATGAGACATTTTCCCGCGGTAAAAAGTGTCATATGTGTTGACCCGGATAACCAGCTATGACCATACCAAATTTCCATTCTCCAGTAGTTTTTCTGTGATGCGGTAACAGACAGACAGACAGACAGACAAAAATTCTAAAAACTATAGATTCGGCCTCTGTATCGATAATAATGTTTATTTCAATAAGATTTTCCATAAAATATCTAATGTACAGATTCGGCTAAGTTACAATTTCATTATATGTATAGATTTATTTTAGTACTAGAAAGAAAGTAATTGACATTGTTTTTATTTAAGAGCTTTGTGAAGAGTGGGCCCTAGCAGAGTGTGAGGGAGAGGGATGGTGGCGAGAGGCGCGAGAAGGGAGGGGCAGTTGTGAGGTGCGGTACGCGGGTACCGCGCCTGTGGAGAGAGCCGCTTCTGCACCGGCTACTGCGCTTGCTGTACGATCTGCTTTACATACTGCGAAGGGTAAGTATTGTAAAAATATGTGGGCTTTGCACATTATAGTATTAGGCCTAGGTAGATAGAGTACAGGAAAAGTTTGATGGTAAATTAAAAAAAAATATTTATTCTCAATCTCATAAGACCAACTTGTTCTATCGCCAATTTTGGACTTCAACTAGAATTTACTCAGTATAATACATAAGGTATTTTTAAGCGATAGTGAGCAATATAATAAAAGTCAATAATAATGTATTGCTCAAAAAACCTACTTAGGAAGAAGCTGAAATTTATATTATAATAGCTTTGACCGAGGCTCCGCCCGCGTTTAAATGACCGAAAACCAAATTGTTAGGTTTTACATATTAGTATCCTCTTACATTGCAGTTTTTGTATTTTTTCTCAGAAATGAGACATATTCCCGCGGTAAAAAGTGTCCTATATGTTGACCCGGATGTTATCTGAAATAGATTTCATCAAAATCCCTCCAGTGGTTTTTCTGTGATGCGGAAAAGACAGACAGACAAAAATTCTAAAAACTATAGATTCGGCCTCTGTATCGATAATAATGTTTATTTCAATAAGATTTTCAAATAAATACTTTATGTACAGATTCGTCTTAGTTATAATTTTATTATATGTGTAGATATACGGAGCCTACGCACGCGCAATTCGATATACGCGGTGACATATTATATTATTCAATTCAATTCTCTTGTTAATGGCTTCAAAGCGTGCCAATGAAGCACACATAACATCGCCAATATCACGTAGAATGGAGAAAACACGAAAGATTGGTTGATAAATAAGATTGTTAACAGAGCACGAAAGTCTCAGAAGCATGGGGGAAACCCCCCCCAAATTTCCACCCCTGGGCTGTGACTGTGTGACTTGATAGAAAACTCAATAATTACTTGGTCGTACCTCAAACTCGAACCCAAGACCCCTGAATTTGCAGTCATACACACAAACTACTTGACCGATGAGGCAGTCAACATATTTAACTATGAATGTTTATAAGCATAGTTGATATAAAAAATCTGTTTGCGCGTTTTCAGCTATGAATAAGAAGTTGCAGAGGGTGAATCTGGATATCAGCGCTAAAGGCATACTGGTTTCCGATGCAGAATCACAGGAAAACGTCTTCAGTGTATCTATTTACGAGTATGTATAATATTAATTGCCATTTCATTAATAATTAAATTACAGAGCCTTTTCTTCGATCTCTTTTATTATATGATTTAGTTAGTTGCTAATGCGGAAAATATGAATGAATTCTAATTTAAGGAGCTATTTTGAAATAATAATCTTTACAAATAAATAAATAAATAAATAATTGAAGTGTCTATTTGTAATGCCAAAAACAGCTTTTTACAAAATACATATGAATTATATGAAAGTATATACGGTACTTATAAGACAAAAATAATTTTAAAATTTTTTCTGACTGTTCCATCAAATCTCCGAAATGGCGGCACCGATATTGACGGGACTTTCACTTGCAAATAGCTTCTGTTTTAAGGAGTAACTACTTTTATTTAAGAAAGAGAATTAAGGTTCCGTGCATAAAATCAAAACCCATGAAAATGTGAACAAAATCCGCGTACCTAGCACCCGACGCACCCTAGCGGAGCAAAGATAAATCGCTAATTAAAAATTAACCTGTCTTCTCTTTAAAAGCTACAAAAGTACCAAGTTTGAAAATTTTATATCCATTCTAATAAGGAGGTAAAGTTTGTGAGTTGGCGAGTTTGTGACGTTGTAGGGGGTAATCTCTCTATCTACTGAACGGATTTAGATGATATTTGGTAAGAAGATAGTTTGAGGCCCTGGGAAGGATATAGGATACTTTTTATCCCGGAAATCATCCCTTAAGGGGGTTAAAATGGGCATGAACGTTTGTATGGAGAATCATGCTAGGGAAGAACCCGAGCGAAGCAAGGGTGAGTCGCTAGTTTAATATATAGGTATATTTAATAATACATAGATATAAATTCTGAAGCTGAAAATTCTCGTCCTTAAACAATTAATATTTAATATGTATCACCTGTGTTTAGTTTGGTGAGTTTTAACCATTAAATAAAAAACAAATTTACTTAAAAAATAATTAAAACATGTTCTTATAAGCAAGATTGTTTTTCCTGAGAGAAACCAGAAGTACATATATATTTATGTAATAACAGAAAAATCATTGACATCTTTATCTGTCTGTGACCTGTTGTCTTGTCTCAAGAACATTGTACTGTTATAAAAAAATATGTCAATAAATAACTTCGCATAGTATTGTTTGTGTAATTAATACCGTAATGAGTTGAATTAAAATGAATTATTGCTTATAGTTTTATAACTTATTTAAACAGCACATAAGAAACAAATTACTTCTACTTTGGTCGATATTTCGTTTGTTTTTACAACTTTATAATCAAATCGGGAAGTTAGTTTCGACCTACATCTAATAGACTTATCAAATACTAGCAAAACTAGAAAAAACTCTAAAATGGTAGGTTTCGTACTAAATTTCATCCCCTATTTTACCCTCTTATGGGATAAATTTTGAAAAATGCTGAAACACGTATTTATTTAATTGTATTGAAAACCATTAATACCAAGTTCCGAGTAATTCTGATCATAAATTTTTTTTGGGTTGTATTATAACGTGTTTTCCCGTGGGAATGAGATAATCTCCCACGGTATAAAGTAGCCTATGTTACTCTCCAGCTCTCCAAATATCTTTGTACAAAAAATCACGCCAATCCGTTCCTCTATTTTGCCGTGAAAGAAGGACAGACAGACAAACAAACAAACAAACAAACAAACAAACAAACATACAAACAAACTTTTACATTCATAATATAATAAAAAATGGATATCGAGTTAGAGCTTCATTTCATTTCATACGTGTTAAAAAACATTACCGTAGGTCAGAAACATGTTTTTCTTAGGATTTTTAAAGTATAATAATCATTTTATTATTATGTGATGTTACCATCGCTTCAAAGTATATTATTACAATAACATCCACTAATCTATTGGTATTTTACATACACACATACATTTTAAATTGCCTCGGTGGTGTAGTGGCTAGCATGTACGGCTGCACACTCGGAGGTCCTGGGTTCGAGTCCCGGGTCGGGCCAAGTTTAGTTATTGAGTCTTTCTATATAATAAGTCTCAGTAACAGCCCGGAGTCGGGAAGTTGGCGGGGTTTCACCCCCGTGCCTTGGAGAGCACGTAAAGCCGTCGGTCCTGCGCCTTAAATCTCACTGGTCGTGTCGAGTGGTCGTCCCACCAGAGTATGAGAGTGACAGGAATAGAGAGTGCACCTGTGTCTGAGCGTACACTTGTGCACTATAATATCTCCTGCGCAGTTGGCTAGTCTCAATGAGATTGGCCGCCGTAGCCGGAATCGGCCAGGAGAACATCATCATCACATACACACGACCATTTACAAACAGACGGTCCGTCTGTAGATTAAGATGTATCATACGATAGGCCTAAGACAGAAATTACCTTTTATAATCTACCTATTATATTTTAGTTTCTATAACCAAATTAAAATATATTTTTATAGTTACTACTAGCGGCTCACCCTCGCTTCGCTCGGGTTCGTCGCTAGGTACGTTTTAAATAGATATAAAAAGAAAAAATCTTTCTTTCTCACATTTTAATTATATGTTTTAATACTTACCTATTCCGGACTAAGAGAAATCCAAAAATTAAAATATCATAAAAATTGAAACGCGGTCGAACGGGATAAAAAGTATCCTATGTCCTTCTCCTGGCTCTAAACTACCTCCCTGCCAATTTTCAGCTAAATCGGTTCAGCCGTTCTTGAGTTATAAGCGAAGTAACTAACACGACTTTCTTTTATATATATAAGATGACTTTATTGGCTGATGAGAAGAATAGATTGTATTTACATATTTCTGTATTATAAAAGCTGTTTGTTTCCCAACTGATAATAAATAAATAAATAAATAAACTATAAAAATATATTGTTAGCGAAAAAAAACTTAATCAAAATGTAAGAATATTTGGTTCTTGAATGAAATGTGTACATAATTCTATTTTCTGAAACCAAGCTTTTAAGGTAAGATTTTAAGCTCTAATATAGTTAGTTTAAGATTCGTTTTCTAAAAATAGAAATTATAAATGCGAAAGTTTGTGTATGAATGTTTGTTACTCCTTCACGCTGAAACGGCTGGACAGATTTAGACGAAATTAAGTACACAGATAGATCATGACCTAGATTCTAGAGTATCTAACATATGTATATAATATATATTGTTATACACTTAGGACCTAGTTATACATATAAATAATCCTTCCAACTACCATGTCTTTATTAATATTTAATCATTTCTAGGATCTCATACTGTTCGGCAGACGCGGCAAATGCCCGTGTCTTTGCCGTGGTTGAGGGCAGAAATGTTAATGGAGACGAAACACACCTCGCCCACGTGTTTGTTTGTTCGCGGCGGAAACAAGCGCGCGCCCTGGCTCTGTCTCTCGCGCACTCCTTTAATGACGCCTACCAGGTGAGATGGGGATATTTTATTATTATTTGAGAAAATATTATTTACTTTTGAAAATTTACGTAAGTTATATACGTTATGGAAAAGTATGAAATAGCTTAGATTGAGTGTTTTGTTTTGTGAAAGCTTTATATCTACAGCTTTATAACGAATATTTACACGCTGTTAATGTCTTTATCCTTTAGTCTATTCAAGCGAGCATGAGACAAAATGTAAACAAGCCGAATAAATGTTCTTTTTGACGTACATATTAATTATAATAATAATAATGAATTATTATAATATTTAACCTCTAGTTATTACTTTTATACTATTATTAAATATTTATGTACCAATTAATATAGTTAAAGTGTATAATATGAAATTTTTTAATCATTCATTATATTTCATTAAATTTTCAATAAAAACTCTGATACAAATACCCAAGAGTGTTATGAATAAAAAAATTAAAAAAATAAAAATAAATAAAAATAAATTTTAAACTAGCGACTCACCTTCGCTCTGCTCGGGTTCGTCTCTACTTACGTTTTAACGTTTAGTATAGATTTCTCAGAGATTAGATATTTTCCCGCAATAAAAAGTATCCTATATATTGACCCGGATAACCCATTATCATCATACCGAATTTCATCAAAATCCCTCCAGTGGTTTTTCCGTGATGCGGTAACAGACAGACAAACAAAAATTCCAAAAACTATAGATTCGGCCTCTGTATTGATAATAATGTCTATTTCAATAAGATTTTCCAAAAAATATTTGATGTAGAGATTCGACTTAGTTAGAATTTTATTATATGTATAGATTTTAAAGTTTTTTCCACCATCTACATGGATGTGACAGGGTATATGCTATCTTCCCAGTTATTTTTGTTGTGAAAATGATGTCAGAAAGCAAACTTTGGTTTTGTTATGTTACATGTTACGTATGTACGTTATTTGTCCATTACTTGATGTAATTTTAGTTGTTGTTTACGTAAGTGTCAACAAGAGTGCTTAAATTTTAGTTTATATTTAATAACAAATTTTAATAATCACTGGACAGAAATCATTATTGTGTATTGTGTGACTCGTCTACACAGAGTCAGTAAATTTTTTTATGGACAATGTATTATGTATACGCTTATACAACAGAATCCAAGAAAATGTTCGAAAAGCTTCTATCGTCAAATTAAAAAAAAAATCAAATTCAAATCAAATTAAAAAAAAATCCCTCAATAATATTATTATTCTATATCGCACAATCACAGATCATATAATACTATACTAGAGGAATCGTATCTACAAACGCAACAATTTTTTTTAAACAATACCAATATCGGCCCGCCGTTATTCAAAGATAAAACGCGTAGCTAATAGCTATACATATTATTATTTTGTTTTGTAGCACTCAAAGATAATATTAAAAAAAATATAATTTGAAAATTTGTTGGTAGATGTCGCCTTTTTTCAATTCTTACTTGCGCCATCTATTATCTCGTAGCTTACCATGGAACTAAATGGTGTTGTGTATTAATGTCCCAACTTATTTATTTATTATAGCGTGTTTTCCCGTGGGAATGAAATAATTTCCCGCGGTGAAAAGCCTATATCATTCTCCAGCCCTCCACACAAAAAATCACGCCAATGCTTTATCCATTTCGACGTGAAAGAAGGACAAACAAACAAATAAACACACTTTCATATTTATAATATTAGTATGGATATATGTATAGATACGGTTGTTACTTATACTTATGGAGTTATCTCTATATAGTTATTAAAAATGATTTTTTTTCATGAACTTATAGTTATAAGTTAATACTACTCATTTCGTAAATATTATATCGTCCCTCTAAAAATAATGATAGAGACACAGAACATATCATCTATACTAATATTATAAAGAGGAAAGATTTGTTTTTTTTGTTTGTTACTTTGTACCGAATAGGCTCCGAAACTAATGAACCGATTTCGATGAAATTTGGTAAGAAGATATTTTGAGTCACTGGAAAGGACATAAGATAGTTTTATTCCCGAAATCATCCCTTAAAATGGGTGAAAATGGGGATGAAATTTTGTATGGGGAAGCAACGTAGGGACGAAGACGAGCGAAGCTAGGGTGAGACGTTAGTCTAAAATACTTTCAATGAAAGTTTATTTGGTCAACATAGTGTTGTTCTTTTAGATATGGGATATTATCGATGGTTCGCAAAATTAGCTTTTTTAAGGCTATGTGAGAATTTATAATTAGACTACTATATAAAAATATCTATACTTACTTACTCCTGTACTTTCATCGGTTTCAGGCTTGGCAAGCGAATGAAGCTGCTTCCATGAAGTCGGGAGGCAAACGCCTAGTAACTCCGTGGGTAAGTTAATTTATATAAGCCTTATCGTACTTTTCAGTGATTCACTCCTTAATGTATATACATACTCTTACCAAAACTAGTTAGTTGTCTACAGAAATATTTTAACCGCTTAGAACATTCGTTAAAGAGTTTTAATTAAAAGCATTTATGATGAGAATAAGATAAACGGCGCGAGCAGAACAATAGTAAGTCATTGAAGCCAAACGAGACCAATGACAGAAGTAAAGAATGTTAATCTAAAACTTATTTTCAATATTTTAAAATGAACTAGCGACTTACCCTTGCTTCGCTCGGGTACGTCCCTAGGTACGCTTTAGTTTTTTTGAGCGGAACTCCAATTCTTTTTCTAAATTAAAGTTACCTAAGATACTCCTTATAACATTAGCTATCTGCCAGTGAAAGTTCCATCAAAATCAGTCCAGCCGTTTCGGAAATAAACCTGAACAAACAGACAGATGGCCAAAAAATTTTAAAATCTCGTTTTCGTAAGTACCGTATGTAATTTCATATGCATTTAGTAAAAAGCTGTTATTTTGATATTACATACAGACACTTCAGTTTTATTTAACTGAATAGAATTATTTACTGATTTTAATATTTTCTGAAGAGGTTTTAGCTATGCAAGTCTTCAGGAATGGTATTATGAAACACCTTATTATAATACCATTTCCAGGCTTTTATTTCTATATTTTTCATGCTTCACCCATCTCATAGTCTAAGGCATTTTATAAAAAAACAGGTGAATTTTCCCGACGAATCTGAGGAAGAAAATGAAAGCGAGCCGTGGCTTGCTCCTGCTCCGCTCGTCACATTCGCTTAGACATATTTAAGTTATTACTATATATTACTATAACTTAAGTTTTATGTGTCTATACATAATTTTTTTTGTCATTTAAGAATAAAAATATCAATTGTACATATAAAAAATCTTTATCGTTGTTTTTTTAATTATTAATATTGCTTTTTTATAGCTAAAATTAGTTATTTTACGTATAGACACATGAATGTGTATAATGGATGTATATTACATATTTGGTTAGATATCCGGAATGAGGCTTTATTTTATTATAAGAGATGAAAATTTCAATCATTTTCGCTTTAATATTATATTAAGTGACGATTCAATATTTACAACAAAAAATACAAATAAACCTAACATATATATATATATATATATATATATATATATATATATATATATATATATATATAATAAGACTAATGTTTAACTCCCATTATTTTTTATCTATACATATCTATTCTATTTTTTATTAAATATCAATTATGTTATTGATGCTTTATTCATTAAGTTTACGATAGTTCTTATGTGCTATGACTGTTAAAAATAAATATTATTTTAAAAGTTGTTATAAGTAATATAGATTATTAAATATTAAGTTTTAATATAAAAGTTAAATCTTTACGTTTCATGTATTAAGAATTTTACGGAGAATTTATAAACGAAATAAAGGATTTTTATAAATATTTAATTTGTTTTTTTTTTTTTAATACGTCGATCCATAAAGTAACTGATATTTATATTTTTTAAGAATTTTAACTATGCTAACACGCATTCGTCAAATTTACAATTTAAAAGCAAATTCTTTTATTAATTTTAATACAATCGTTCGAGTATCATAGTTAATACTCCAACATAAAACGTCTGTGGATGTGAAAAAGTTACTAGCTGTAACACTATATAATGACCTAACTATTGAGACATCTTAAACCTTAGTTTCTCTGGTGACCGTAATTGCTGTAAAGCATTTGGAATATTTGAAACAAAAAATCAAAATAAATCCGCTAAAAATTGGAAAGTAAGTACAATGTATTAAATAATAAACCAAGTGATACAATCAAAAGTGTATGTTAATTTATTACTTAAATATTACAATTGTCTACATAGTTTAAGACTGATCTAGCCGGCACTGTGAGTAAAGCTCCAGCCTGCGTCGTCCCGAGGCCGTGGTGTGGAGTGGTTCGGAGCACGAGGCGCCGTTGTAGTTGATCATCATGTAGTCGAAGCAGTCTGTCACACCATCTCGATTGCAATCCTACAATTTTAAAGAAATAATAACACTTTTTTATTATGTAATTTTTAAATTCATTGGGTAAGTTATTAAATGGACGAATAAAAGATAATATGTGTTGCTTATAAAGTTAAACGGTATTCAGCTATAATTAATAGTATAAGAAGATTTATAATGAAACAAAATATGAATGTCACTCAGCTTTATAAAATCGCTTGTGTATTCATTTGGATAATCTTAGCAATAATTACATTTACAAAAATAATAAATTTCAAAAACGAGTTATAAGACAAGGAAATAATATTTTCGAACATCTATAACTATAACTTATAGGAACTACTTATAGTAAAAAATACCTTCATTTTATTTTTATTTGGCTCCCTCGTACGATAAGTACAATAGAGCCATATTATATACGGAATTGATCGAATAAAATATGTAAAGGAATCAAAGACTTTAAAAAAATCATATCTTAGGTATATATATATATATATATATATATATATATATATATATATATATATATATATATTGATATATATAAATAACATCACTTTAATAAATAATTAATTATATCTTAATATCAAATAACCTGAATTAACTTAATAAATTCAAATTATTCATCAAAACAAAGTAATCAAATATAGAATGATAATAAGGAATAAATTAATAATAATAGGTGGTTTAACGGAAAATAAAAAACTAAAAATGTAAACTATAAACATTTTCTTTTCTTTATGCAAATTTTAAATTACAATAATTGCCTTTTCCATATGTAATGTGGATAACTCTACATATTATTTGTTTATCTTGCTTATGGTCTCAAAAACATTTTTATTACGTGTTTAAGTTTATAATACTCGTGGAATTAAAAAATGTGTTTTAAAGTGAAATTTCTTTAGAATCGTTGTTATTTAAAACTCGATAAAGCGGAAATGCGTCACGCAGAGAGAAAAACACATAAATGTATAGGATTAAGCCAGCGAGAGAATGAGATAGAATACATTACACAGTAAGTGAAAAATAGTAAAATTAATACTGAATAAATACTATGTAATTTATATTTATGCGGATTATATCCGCATAAAGCGGACGATTTTATGTGTATTTACCTTTCCAAACTTCGCCAAGTAGTTTTCAACTATTTTTCTTGCACAGTGATATTCTCTGGCGCAGTCTTCATAGGCTGAAATATTAAACATATTAATATTAAAAATGGGTCTTTAAATTCTTATAAATAAAGGAGAAACGATTCTATTTAGTATGCGAAACCTCTTCAAAACGTAGGTATTCATTAAGATTATGCCTAATCTGCTTAGATTTTAGCAATTCAAATATTTGTAAATTTTTATTATCACATTTATTACATCCTGTTCTAGAAATCATTTTTAGGGGTTTCGTTGCCTATAGGCTATGGTTTTTCATCATATAACATGATCATCTTCGAAAGGTGTTTAGAAATAAGATAGCTTGTTGCTATTCGTCCGTTAATCGGATGAATAAAAAATGTATTATTCTTCCAACTACGAGTATAGTCGGCTTGTATGAATATCTACAACTTTTTTGTTTTATATGAAAAATAAGTAATTTTTAGGTGCAGGCGTTTCTATATGCAAAAAAAACCTATCGAGCTGAAAACTTGTTCTTTTAGATCCCAACGATTTTTAAGCTCAAGAGTTTTATGTGTAAAAAAAAGAAAAGCGCCTGAACCTACGCAGCTAAAAATGGATTTTATTAGGAGAATATTACTGTGTGATAATAAAACAAGATAATTATTCTAACTTATCGGGCCATAAAGATTTTTAATTTAAGTCCATTCTATCTCATTCTAAACTTAAATTTTGAACTATCGATATTCTTAAAAATCTATACATCAAGAAACATAAAACCAGTCGCTGTCGCAATATATCACACACCAACAATGAGTCAGACGAATAATTATATTATTAAATATTTTTATTAATATTTTTTATTCATTTGATTATTATCGAACGAATAGACACTTCCAATAATATATATCTTTTTAACAAAAAGTTGCTGAATTATACTGTAAAGTAAACCAGCTCTTTATATTATCATAAGGTGGAAATGACATCTAAAATAACGAACCATTTATTGATTTTTAAATTATGATTTTCATTAAATATTTAAAAAACACTATAAAATGAACTTAAACATATTTTTATTTAGCTAAAATGACATTAGAAAAAAATCACATAATTTTTTTGGGATCCTGTGTGCAGCGAAAAATGCACTTTTCAATTTATAAAGTTTGTATCTTACATTTAAATTAATAACCATTTTTTTTTTACAAAAAAATAAAAATATCGAATTTGAATTAATATTTAGTTATTTAGATATTCAAACGCACCTTCTTTCCTATCGGGGCTGTCTTCTGGAAGAGTGGGTTTGTCAGCATCAATCCAGTACAGTCTGGATATGTAAAAAGGTCCACAGTATCCTCCGGAACATCCATGAGATAGATCACATCCGGCGACATGACATAGGCATCGTAAACAAGTATCGTTTAGGTTTGAAACTTTGATATCTAGAAAATAAATGTGTTTATAAATAATTACAATATTAAATATGTATGTATGTATATATTTTGATTGGAAACTATAACGGAATTTACGGACTTATTTAAAAAAAAAGGCTACATTAAACGTCAGTATTGAACATTTTGATATAAACCATTCTTATTGATGCTAAACATTTAACTTACTCGTGATACTCGAAAAGGTACTAAGTAATATTTTTTAACTAAAAAGTCTACTACCTACTATTGGAGTTCATTTTACTTAAAACGTACACTTGACTTTAAAATTGCTTTGGAATTTTTCCTTGTCGTGTGAATAATTGAAATCGATTCATAATTGGCAAAGGTACTGACTGGGTAATACAATGACGAAAAAAATCTTGAATTAAGTGCCTTCGAAATTGTTGAAAAAAAAAACAACCACTTTTATCTATTTTTGTGATAGACAATACATGAATTAGAATACTAATCTAATCCAGTACCTCAACAGTACCTTTGTACGCAGTCGGAGTAGCCTCCGAACGAGTAGTAGGTTCAATTTCGTGTGTATAGTGACCACAAAGTGATACAAAATGTTTATCCAGGTCAGATAAAATCGAATAGAAAATCGATGGAAATACTAAGCATATATATATAGCTCAATAACATAAATTATATATTTTCTTTTTCACTGAAATAAAAGTTTAAAATTTCCAACGCTCTTTTACAGAAATATTATTCGAGTATAAATAAGTAACAATAAAATACAAAAATCCTAATAATAAACAAACCTGTTTCACTTTTAACAAAATATGCACTGATTAAAATAAAAAGTAATGATTTTAAAAGCATTTCTTTGTCTTAATAGTCACTGTAGTCTCCTTTAGTCTTTCTTCACGCACTATATATCTTATAAAATTGTTTCTAAATAATTTAAGGCATGGATGACATAATATATACACAAAAAAATCTATCATGGAGATTAATAATTATTAAACGGATGTATTCGTAAAATATAAGTGGAAAAACCCGTATGAACCAAACTTTGACTGCGTACTGCGAATATTCGAACTGATTAGCAGTTAGAACTGATTTAGTAGGTAATATATCGGAGTCGATATTGAATCGGTATTGGAAATAATTACTATTGGTATTGTAACTATTAATATCGAATAGTATAAAAATTGTATCGATGTTAATTTTTTGTAATGTACTTGACATTATTAAATACCGAAAAATGTTGCTTGACGGATTGAGATTTAACATGTACGTTTTAACGTTAGTATAGATTTCTCAGAAATGAGATATTTTCCCGCAGTAAAAAGTATCCTATATGTTGAGTAACTATCATCATACCAAATTTCACCAAAATCTGTCCAATTGTTTTCTCGTAATGTGGTCACAGATAGACAGACAGACAAACAGACAAAAATTCTAAAAACTATAGATTCGGCCTGTGTATCGATAATAATGACAATTTCAATAAGATTTTCCAAAAAACCATTCCATTTAATGTACAGATTTAACTCAGAATTTTATTATATGAACATATAGATAAAACAAACGTTTTTTTTTATAGAATTTTTACTCGCAAAAGCTATGGCTTGATCTAATGTCGACGATCATCGTCGCACAAGGAAGAGTTACATAAATAATTAATAATGTCCAATCCGATATCGATATCATCCGATCATTCGGTTATCATGTTCATTCGATAATCATGTTTCAGTAACGTATTAATATTAATACCTGTCTAGTGTCTAACTCGTAAAAGAAACAGTGAAAAGTTATTTTATTACACGTAAAATTACTTTTACGCGCTCGATAACGTGTACGTTGTTGTAAAGGTAAATAATGGTAGGGGCTCAGAATAAATTATTTTATCATACCAATCACATCTCCGTGTTATCTAATTCTGGGAAACAAAATGACGGTCGAATAGTTCATCGGATGCAATATATCCGCAAATCGTTACAGCGTTCGGACGTTTAGAAGGTTATCTGGATTAAAGAAAGGTCGCTCAATTTTAGGTTTTGTTTTATGTTGTGTTATAACTGTCTAATGGATGGAATATTTTTTGCTTTAATTCATTACTTTTTGAGTTAGTGCTCTTCCGTGAGAGCTAGTTTGAGCTTCCGTGAGAAGCAGTAATTTAATAATTTAATAGTCCTTGTGCTAGTACACTTCGTTTTGAGTTTTTTTCGGAAAAGCCACCTATAACTAGAGATAAATTTAAAAAAACATCCAAATCCTTAGAGCCGTTTCCGAGATACACGAAATAAATTTATATATACAAGAATTTCTCATTTAACTGTTTCCCTGTCCCATAAGTCATATAATATGAACATTTCGATTGTTGTTTAACTATATGTCCATTTTGCGGACAGTTAATCTGTTAATAATAGAAGATAAATATTAAACATACTCTAGGACAATAAGGAAGAGATTTTCCAGTAAATCGATGGCAAAGAGTCAATCACAAAGTATTGGAAACTTGGTTAAATATTACCCGTTATATTGTTAATGTATCTTTATATTTTGCATATAACGAAAAAGAATAAGAGTGCGAAACCACATTATAATGTCCTTTTATCCTTTCAATCACATTGGGGCAGTCTATGCATGAAATGTTATAGTACACTAGTGCGTGCACCACACTTTTTATTTCCATTACCCTCAAATTCGAATGGAACGACAATCTGACGCAAGTGGTGGAGCATCCAGCGGAAGGTAGTTTCTGAGGCGACTGCCAGCTTTCCAACCTCAGGCTGTTACTAAAAATTTAATGACAAAGCTAGACCTGGAACTTGTGCCTAGGACCTGTGCATACAAGGCGTTTGAAAGACGATAGTTTTATGGCCTACTTTTCTCAAGTAGTGGTCCATTTTTGATATAGAAGATTCATGATTTCATTTTACACGCTTATAGTTTAAAATTAGTATGCTACATAAAAAGCAAATTTATAAGTTTTGAAATGCATTACTTCCGCTATCGTATGAGTTTTATTGTATCATATTTCCCATAAGGGAAGCAAGGTAAATAAGAATTTTTATTTTATGTATAAGTTAGTATATTGAATTTAAATTAAAACAATAAATAATAATCACTTTATTATGATGTCCTTAATTCATTATAATGACAGTGGAAATACTTATCGATAAGTTCAAATAGCAACAAACAAATAGTTCAAAGCCGTATTTATTCATACTTTTGACCCCAAAGGCTACAAATGCACTATATGCATAAATAATTGCAATAATTTACGAGTATCATAGCAACTACTTGTGATATCCATACTTTTATATTATAAATGTGAAAGTGTGTTTGTTTGTTTGTCTTTCTTTTACGTCGAAACGAAGTGACGGATTGGCGTGATTTTTTGTGCGGAGATAGTTGGAGGGCTGGACAGTGACACAGGCAATTTTTTATCCCCGGAGATTATCTCATTCCCACGGGAAAACACGGTATAATACAACCAAAAAAAAATTTATTATCAGAAGTACTTGAAACTTGGTATTAATGCTCTTCAACACAATTAAAGTAATACGTGTTTTAGCATTTTTCGAAAATTCATCCCATAAGGGGGTAAAATAGGACATAAAAGTTTGTATGAAACCTACCTTTTTCAGAGTTTTTTTTTTTGTAGTTTTAGCTGGTAAAATAGAAATATCTAGAAAGGTCATAAAACATGATAGCAAGCAATTAGCAAGGTGAGTATTAAACTGCCTATTTAATTATAATTATTTAATAACCACCAGTAGACAAAACTAAGGATTTCATGATAACTATTCATAGTTTGAATGACTGTTCAAGTCAACGCGAATATTTCTGATGTATGACGAAAACCTTTTCACAAAGTTGCCCGATTTTATGATATTCGATAATGTAACCTTAAAAAATGAAACAAGTACATGTAATATTATAATTTAATCATATAAATATCTAAAATATATATTCTTATTTAAATATCTTGTGGGAAAGATATTTGAATTCCTAAATTAAAATGACTGTTATTTCGTAAAATCATTTTTACAATTCTTATAATTTCAGTTGTTTAAGTAACTAAATAACTTATCTAAAATCGATGTACATATTATATCTAACCTCAACATCATTTGTTTTTTTTGTCAGTTATATTATTATGGTGACTTTGTTAAGCCTACAGTCAGACAATAATTTATTATTATAACAATTTTCTTGAGCAAAAGATTTTAATAATTTAGCCCTGTATTTGAGAGACGTAGGCGATGCACTGGTTGAAAACGTTGACGTAATTGAAGGGTAGGTCTCCAGTACAACCGTACCCTCCTAGCTTGTGGATGGCCATGAAATCGTAGCAGTTGATTACGCCATCTTTGTTGCAATCCTGAAAATAAAATTAAAAAAAATATAGTAGTCATCTACTACTCTTACAAAATATTTGCATTTATGAAATAAGTAACTAATTTTTTTCTAAATTACAAAATTTATCTTCTACAAAAATTGTTTATAAACAAATAAATTATAAGTACATCCTGTTAGTTTATACTTTTGCTTTTATTTTTAAAATAAAAAAAAAAACAATTCATGGAAGCTGTGCCACAACACAAGTGACATTTCACGGCCGAACAACCGCGAAGACACAATTGTAAACTAGTTTTATGACATCATTCGCCAGTTATTTGACAATGTTAAACGAATATGCAAATTATTTAACAATAAATAAGACGCACAATACAATATTAACCAGAACTATAAGCTTTAATCTTAATAAACATCACAATATAATGAATATTATAATATTTGTATGTTTTTTTATTTTATGGAACAACTTGTGATTCAAACAATCCCACGCTTATTCTGCTCTATAATTTATAATTCAGTTTACTTTAAATCTTCTTCAAATATTTACATATATGTACATAATATGTATAAAATGTGTTGTAACTAATATTTATTATTGAAAAATTAAATTCGGAATAATTTACCTGTCCAAATTTCCTCATGTAGCCTTGGACGGTCTCAGCAGCACAGTATGGGTTGTTGGTACAGCTCGAGTATGCTGAAAATTAAAAAAAAATACTTTAATCACATCAGTAATAAATCAGTAAAAATATGTAAGCGTTTTTACTAAATGAATATTATAAGGTGTAACAGGATAAAAACAGTCACTCTCACATTAAATAGCGGATGCATTTTGGTTTGATTCATCTGTGGCCTAGAGAAGGAGACCTTGGCTTATTTCCATGGTCAGTGTTTACTCATTTTCGAATTACTGATTCCGAGAACATAACCCTGATATTTCATTTAAGTATACATACATATGTGACAAAAATTTATTTTTTAGAATCTATCAATCTTAAGAGCTCACAAAATACAGGAATTCTAAATGATATTTTATAGGCATTAGAAGTATTATACGTTTGCTAAAAGATGAAGTTTTACTACCAGATTGAAAATAGTTTGTGAAATATATTTTTGTTATTTATTATATTCTACACATATTATACCTTATTTTAAACCGTGTTAGGTGCGTATTGTATACGTACGAGAAATTATTATTAAAAAATATTTGTTTACTATATAATTAACACCTCCAGGTAAATTTTTAAGAAATTAATTAAATTTCCTAAAAGAATCTATTGTTAACTGTAACGCCGGCGTATCCGCGGTCGTTGAGGGATTAAATTAAAATTCTGAACAGCTTACTGAATAGACTTTCTGATAATACCGTTAAAGACGCCTTGAGTTAGAGATCAGAAATAACACAAATAGGCACTATTAATAGTAACTTGGACAATGCAACACTTTATACGAGAAGAAACTCGTTAAACGCTATGTGGAGAAAATTTTTGTATTAAAACTTACCATCAGGGGCATCAGGAGATACTCCATCAAGAGTTGGTTTGCCGGCATCTGCCCAGTATGGCCAGGTTATGCGAAATAGACCGCAATGATCGCCTTCACACTGCAAACCTGCCTTGCAACCAGACACCGCTTGGCAAATGCAACCAAGACAGGCTTCCGTAACGGGACGTTCTCCTATAAAAAATATATAATTATAAAATTATTTTTATTACATTAATTGGACCTACTAAGCATTTCTAGCAAATTAACTAATTTTGTAAATGGATGATATAAGTCATATAAAGGTCTGCATAGAAGATTATTAATTCAACGTTACAAGAAAAGTAAACGATAATGAATAGGCATGCATACTTGAAATGCAAATTTGCAACCGCAATATGAAATTTTGTTTATAAATAGAACTTTAAAGAAGAAAAGACGTGTGTGTACTTATGTATGCACGTAAGAAGTTATACTTCTTTGGCGTAGCAGAACAAAAATAGCTAAAGATTTCATCCCATATGCCACAACTCTCTCATCGTTAACATTTTACTCTCAATTTTTTTTCCAAACGTGCCAAAAGAAGTACAAGTGTAAAAATATTATAAGAAGTTAAAAGTCAATCATGATTCATCTACGTAAATCTATACTTATAATAAAATTGTAACTAAGCCGAATCTGTACAATAAATATTTTAAGGAAAATCTTATTGAAATAAACATTATTATCGATACAGGGGCCGAATCTATAGTTTTTAGAATTTTCGTGTCTGTTTGTTGTTGTGTTGTCTGTTACCGCATCACAGAAAAACTACTCGAGGGATTTTGATGAAATTTGGTATGGTGATAGCTGGTTATCAGGGTCAACATATAGGATACTTTTTATCGGGGTAAAATATCTCATTTCTGAGAAAAAATACAAAAACTGCAATGTAAGAGTATACTAATATGTAAAACCTAAGAATTTGGTTTTTTGTCACCTGAACGTGGGCAGAGGCGCGGGCAATGTTAGTTTTACCTAAACGTTTAAAATATTTTCAATAAAGTATCACAAAAGAGCAATTACATTTCACATACGTACATATGTTGTGTATTTCCATAATGTTAAACCATAAGTGGCAAGATAGAGTCATACAAGCCTTCACTAAGATCCGGTAAGGCTATTGTTCGTCATTGTTATTGATCTAATAGTTATGTGGTCTACGACCTTTTATTGTCTGTTAATTAAATCATAACTGGAATTACTGTGCAATATTCCTTGAATATGTAAGCGCACCTAATAAGAAACATTCTTATGTAATGGGATACTTTGAAGAAGTATCTTGTATCAAAGTATCTTTCCAAGATATAATTTACATTACACATACATACAACATTATAGTCAATTTTGTTTGTGCTAGACTGATCTTCTCTTTAAAACAGGTAATCCGAATTATAAAAGTTCACTGTAATTGATCATATCTGCCGACTTCAAAATAACTTATAATTCTGTGGTTTGCTTTCTTGAAATATTACATGGGATATTTACATGGGACTATTTCTGAGGTTAATGAAATTTGGTTATTTTTTTTAAATAACTCTAAATACAGCTCTACACGTAACACTTCGTTTATATATACTGTGTTTTTGTAAGAGTTCAGACTGGGAACAGTAGCTAGTGTTAAAATATCATTTGTTTCTACTTAATACCCGTAATAACGTAATAAAGTAATTTACTTGTACAGTAATAACTAAGTGTACATTTGTTTTGTATATATAATTAAGTATATTTGTATTCTTTATTGTAGTTAGGTATTAAAAAAAAATGACAATGGTTAATTTTTGCTAATATTATTTATTGTTGCTATTATTATATTATGTATAACCATAAAGAATATTAAAAATACCCGTTTTGTTCAATAAACTGGGTAAACCCAGAGACGATGACGTGTTCAATGCTTGACGTGACTTGCATTGTCTCCCTGTGAGAAAACATTTGACTACCCTTGAATTTGTATACAGGTATTGCCACTGTGCGATTTTTGTGCTATTAAATATACAACAGTATTTTAAAAACTTACTTAAGATGCTCAAAAGCTTATTGATAACTTCTGCTTGAACAAATAAAACGAATCTTTCATCTGTTTGTTACTCCTTAACGCCAAAGCAGCCTGACAGATTTAGATGAAATTTAGAATACAGATAGATTATGATATTGTGTAACATATAGGCTATTCTTAGGCACATAGCAATTTACCCTAGCGTTACGAGAATACATATATATCTCTAGCATAAAAGTATAAGTAGGTGATATTATTAGACCGATAAAAATATTATATGGTCTAAGCAAACATAATTTATAATCTTTTTTATTTTGATTAGAAAAAAATAATACATATTTATTATTTAGGTATTTATTATGTCATCATTAAATTATATTTATCAGGTGTTGCTTGTAAGTAATTAATCTAAAAGTATTTACTATAATGAATTACGATACTAAAATTAATCTATACTAATATTATAAAGAGGCAAAGTTTGTGAGTTTGTGACGTCGTAGGAGATAATCTCTGGATCTACAGAACTGATTTTAAAAAAATTGGTAAGAAGATAGTTTGAGACCCTGGGAAGGACATAAGATACTTTTTATCCTGAAAATCATCCCTTAAGGGGGTGAAAATGGGGATGAAAGTTTGTATTGGGAAGCAAGCTAGGGACGAACCCGAGTGAACCGAGGGTGAGTCGCAAGTTAATAATAAAAGACAATTTGTACCTATTGTTAAGACAACATTTATACAAGGCTATGTTACCGTGCTGCTATAAATATTATAGGTATGTACGTAGTAATGTACGTAGACTTGGCATCGTGTTCAGGAAAAACGAAGTATAAAAGAATGATGACGGACTAACAGAATAACTTTATAGTATTTATTTAATATTTTGCTCTTTTATTAAACTTGTATAATGATAAAAATGTTAATTTAATAATAATATTGAAAAACTTTATTGTACACACAAAAAACAATATCGCTGAAACAGCGATTTCTTCCAGGCCACAGTTAGGTGTAGAAAATAGCGAAGTGTGTTGTGGAAGGGCTGTGAATACATTTTCTATTGTTCGTAACCTCTTTATGGTAGAATAATAACGTAGAATATTGTCTATAGGAATCTTTCTCTTAGCTATTTCTCACCGCTTTCCTTTTTAATAACCTATTAGAAATCAAGATAGAAGTGAAAAATTGATGAAAGGTCTATAGATATATCGTCTATAGATATATAGGTAGAAACTGTTTCAGACTTATTGACGTTCCATTGATTAGTTTTTTGAATATTTAATACTTTTTTTACCTTGTCGAATCTTTTTTGTTAATGGTTCATAATAAAGCTTTACATGTATGTATGTATGTAAATGCCTTGTGGGAAATGATTATGCAAACAAAAAAATAGCCACTATATAGTTAGATAGCTATGTAGGACATCACTTTACGCTGTCCTCGCCCTAATTTATTTAACAATTAGATATTTGTTAATCATTTTTCATATCAAATATAGTAAATTATTATACTTATAGAAAAAGATAAACTTATAAACAAAACATTAATATAGGTAAGGTATTGCGGAAACATAGCAAACGATTGATCTATAGATCATGATCTAAGATAATAAGTATGCTAACGGATATGATATGAATACATCAGACAGAAACAGTCCAAGCAATAAGGACAATTTACATAATAGTTTGTATCATATTTTTTTATTCGTGACAAGGACAATTATATATATAATATGTATCATCGTTAATAGTAGCATATATTAAAATGAGGGACTTAACGATCTTGAGTATATAGACTAAATCGGACTTCGGACTACTATTATATTATACTAGCGACTCACCCTCGCTTCGCTCGGGTTCGTCCCTAGCTTGTTTCCCCATACAAACTTTCATCCCCATTTTCACCCCTTTAAAGGATGATTTCCGGGATAAAAGTATGCTATGTTCTTCCCAGGGTCTCGAACTATCTTCTTACCAAATTTCTTCTAAATCTGTTCAGTAGATTCAGAGATTACTCCCTACAACGTCACAAACTCACAAACTTTATCTCTTTATAATATTAGTATAGATGAAAAAGTGTCTTTGTTTACTACTCCTTCCTGCTTAAACGGCTGGACTAATTTGGATGATATTTGGTACACATATAGATTATAACCTATATATGAGTCGCATATTATATAATAATTTGTTTTAAACCAATATATACTAAATATTATAAATACGAAAGTAGATTGATAAACTCTGAAACGGACTTGTGTGTTTGCTTGTTCTTTTTATTTAGGATTGTACATAAATAAACGCGTTGATGTCTTTAATATGAGAGATTTTTAAAACCTTGAACTATTTTTAAAACCGTGAGGTTACTGTCACAGAAAAATAATATTTATAAAATTATCTATTTCATGTTATAATAATACTTTTTTTTACTTTATCCATACTTGATGAGTACAAAAGCATTTGTCCTAATATTTTTCTGTATGAACAAGCAATATTTTTCTAATAATTTACATAAGTAAAGGAAACTAATATACAAATATGTCATCGTGAGTAAGAAATCATATTGTAATAAAACCAGTTATTAATATAATTGCTACCATCTTGGAACTAAAAAAAGGTACTTTTGTAGTAGTAACTTGATCTGGTCACACAGGACCCGTGAAGCAGGTAAATGATAGATAAAACTAAACAATTTACTATACGTATATATACATATATATATATATATATATATATATATATAAATATATATATATATTTAATTGTGAGTTATACCAACTAAAACACAATGACATGCAATTTAAAATAGCTCAGGCTATCACAACGGATTGGAAGGACCACAGTAAGTATTTATTCGTAACAAAAATGAATTTAATATTTACGAAATATATATAAATATTGAGAAAGCTATTTCACGTGTAAAGTAGAAGTTTCAGCTTTTCTTTTTTACCGTAATAGATTGTCATATAGAACACCAGTAGAGACCTAACAATGTTGTTTGACAAGTGCTCAAGTTGGAACCGGATCAATCGGCACGCGGATCCAGCGGATATCATTACCAAGTAAAATGTTCACAGTCAAGACTACTTTAATGTAAAGCTGGTTTTACATTTGAAGAGAAATTATTGCTAGAATAAAAATAGACTTCTAAATGTAAACTAACGACGCGCTCAGCTTTTAAGTTCTTGAAACATACTATATATAAATAGGCAACGACAAAACAGTTCATTGCCTTTTCTGCTCTGTTTGTCAACCGATTTTCTTTTTTTATTATTTATGAGCTATTGATGAGCTATGGTATAGTCGAATTTTGACCATTGTGCGAACGTAGTAATATTAGAACTACTTAATTTAGCGAGATAAAAAGTAGCCTATTATATCTCACAAATATGCAAAAAATCTGTTCATTACTTAGTTACGTGGAAAGATATACAAGGCTGAAAAAATACACCATCACGTTATAATAATATAATAATAATAATATCATTTATTTCAACCTTCAAGGATCATATTTTGTTAGTAAAGACACACTGTAACCTAATGTTAGTACACATTTAACCTACTTAATCCTAAACCTTATCTAAGACAGCCTCGATTTGTCAGCATGTGCACCATTTGGCAATGGTTCAAATACTGACAATCGAGCCTGTCAGCAAATGCCCTCAGGATGCTATTGGAACTGGCCCGTTATATAATATATATAATAATGGTATGATTCATGAACATTTTAAAATTTATACAATTAAAAAAGTTACTTATGTAAAATTGCATTGGAGCATAAGTTTCCCTCTCGATATTCATGAATACGCCAAATGTCTTTATAGGCTATAGAGAAATTTTTTATCTGGTACCTCAAACTTAACCATGATAGTTTGATAGCAATGTTTTTATATTTTTTATTACAGAAATATTAGATGTTATCAATGAATCTCACCATGGATATGAGCAGGTATTATCAAGCATGCTAAAATTTGGCACTTTACAGAATCATTTGCTTTTATTTTTATTTTTTATCAATACAATGTATATTAATTATTTTTATGACATAGCTTGAGTAAATCCTTACTTTATAAAAATGTAAACTTTAATGCGAGTTCAGGGCATTGAGTCGCTGATCTAGCGGATGTCATTATCATCTTAGCATACAAATAACCGTAGCAAACTATATAATGATAAAGACAGCAATTATCTCTAAATGATGCCTAGATGTTAACTTATACAAAATATAATTATTATAATATTCTCAGAAATGTGTCTTTATTAGTATTATTAGCGCAAATGTTTTTCTTTGTTCTTCTATCACACAAACTTTTTACGAATATTCAATGTACATATGTACATACATACATATGTGCTAAAGAGTACGTAACCTTGTATAATAAAAATGCATATTTTAGCGCATTATGTAGAAAAATAAGCTGATTAAAACATCAAAAATTAAAACCAGTAGATTATATTATATTACAATAGAGATTATATATGATAGTTTCCTTTTCAGATAGCGAAATAATATTTATTGTTGAGAAATTCACAAAATTATGCATCTTTTGTTTGACCCCAACCTTATGAATAAAGTACGCAAATATTACGTAAAATGTGTTATGTTCATTTTATTATCATTATGACATTGAACAACTCCAATGATACGGACAAACATAAATAAAACCTTGTATAATTAAGACCACCAAAACTGACCTTTGATTTTATCCAAATAAAATATTATCTTTTCATATATTAGATAATTATTGCAATATCGACCAATTTGTTATGTTACCTATATTACATTTTCTTATACTTTTTGGGTTTATCTGCCAAAGAAACTTTCATAGTACATATTTTCACCAATACCAAGAATATGAACTCCAAATTTTCTATTTCATGTATATTCATATTCCATTACAATAACTATCTACACATATAATAAAATTGTAACTAAACCGAATCTGTACATTAAATATTTTTTGGAAAATATTATTGAAATAGACATTATGATCGATACAGAGGTCGAATCTATAGTTTTTAGAATTTTTGCCTGTCTGTCTGTTACCGCATCACGGAAAAAACGCTGGAGAAACTTTTGAAAAAAAATTTACAAAAACTGCAGTGTATGTGTAAGCTGTGTAAGAGTATACTAATATGTAAAACCTAAGAAATTCTTTTTGGTCATCTGAACGCGAGCGGAGCCGCCGGCAATGCTAGTTATATAAAATTTTCATCCAATATTATACGTATAATTAATATTTATAAATTATATCAAAATGATGATTAAGTTTCAAATGCATTTCAATTATTCAAGTACCAATAGGCGTGTTACAAAGCAATTATGCAAAGTAATGACTAATCCGGAAGATTTTTTCTTAAGGATTACGTATCATTTTCAATGTTATTCATTATTATTAGCATAATTTTTAGAATTCAATCTGATTACATGTAATCAATTATAAATTATACGTTTTGCAATAGTGATAATTAATTGAACTACCGATTAAAACGTTTTATTTCAAAGCGCTCGATTTTCTCAGGCTTCTTTAACCTTGCGCATCTTTTATGATCTTTTTGCAATATATGTTATATATACATATATATTACAATGGAAAAGCTTCATCTAGCTTCTTTCAATAGAACATAGCTCTAAGTCCTAAAAGATTTAAAGATAGAAAAAAGAAAAATATAATAATAAATAAAATATAATTATATGATATAATTAAGGTTATCATTATATAACAATAATTATAAATTACATTAAGGTTTTCAATTAAAATAGAAGTCGACATACAACAATTTCCAAGTTAATTAGATCATTCATCATGTTTATAAAATGGTTGTATCGTCATAATGCCAATAAGAGAATATGCATTATTTGTATTTTATTACACTCATTTACTTCATTCTCGAATAGCTTATTCAGTAGTAATTGATTTGAGTTCAGTGTACATTGGTTTTGTATATATAATTACTCGTAAGTATATTTGTATTTACAATTGGACCTTCTTTATTTCACGTGCTAACTACAGTTGAAATAATAAAAAACTGAATTTAATGTTGAAAATGCGCGTTTTTTTCTCTCTATTTAATAAACAACTTATGGCTGATATGACCTATATTTCACGCAAGTAAAAATTCATATAAAGTTCTTCGTAAAAGTAATATATCTTTTTTCTAGTTGTAAACTAAAATAACGCTATAATATTAAAACAACATATAAGAAAACAAGTTATTTCAATACCAGGCTTAGACTTTTTTTAAACTACGAAGAATACAAACGCTCGGATCTTGAACTCGAAATAATTAATTTATTTTTTAATATTAATAATTGTTTGAAATTATTAAGAATATTTTTATTAAAGGATAACATACGTGACATATCATAGTTTATTGTTAAACAAACATTGTCTATTACGATAGAGATTAGAGACTGCTTTTACCCGCTCCCGTTTTGTAAAGACTGATACGGCTTATAAAGCAGATCGTGGTTCTTGACTCCTTGGTTCGAGTCTCAGACCGAACCAAAATAGTTACTGGTTGTTTTCTGCCACGAATTACTCAGTAGCAACCGGGAGATGGAAATTAAGGAGCATGATATGCTGTCGGTCATATCTTTCGCTCACTTATCCCATTGTCGTCCCCTCGAAATAAGCGGGTTAAATGAATAGAGAGTACACGTACAAACTTGTGCACAATATAGACTTAATCAATCTTAATGAGAGTGGCCGTCGTAAGAGAAATCGGTTAGAATTAGAATGTAATTACTAACTACATATATGAGCTATACCCTGAATCTGGTTATCATTTTTGGAAGACTTCATAAAAATTCAATTCTCACATTTGTAGTGAAGTGTATGTTATTTTGTGTTTACATGCTCGATATCGATATAAATGTTCGCCAATGATGAACATTGATCACAGATTTTCATAATTCTTTTAAAATTTGAAGTAAAAATTATTTTAGATATTAAAATTGGTGCATCTTTTAGTTAAACAATTATATAAGTTGCAAAAAGTATTAAATAAGAAAAAAAATGTTACACAAACAATACTTTTATTTTTATTACGTTATATAGTTGTCTAGTTGGGTAACTCTAAAATAATTTATCAAAAATTGCTTATGGGCAAATTATTTAATAGAATATGTAATGAATTCCCTTATTGTACTTTAAAAGTATAGAGGAATGAAGTTGAAAATTACTATTTCATTTTATTTATCGAACAGGTACTATCATGGCTTAGATACATTATTACATAGCTTAAAGTTCCCACTTTTCCCCATAAATTTTCTAGGTGTCTTTATACGTGCCATCCCTTATGTACCCGTATAATCTATACATACAATAAAATTGTAACTAAGTCAAATCTGTACCTACATTATTATTATTTTTTGGAAAATTTTATTGAAATAGATATTATTATCGATACAGAAGCCGAATCTATAGTTTATAGAATTTTTGCCCGTCTGTCTGTCTGTCTGTCTGTCTGTTACTGCATCACAGAAAAACCACTGGAGTGATTTTGGAGAAATTTGGTATGGTGATAGCTGGTTATCCGGGTCAACATATAGGATACTTTTTACCGCGGGAAAATATCTCATTTTTGAGAAAAAAATCAAATCTGCAATGTTAGAGTATACTAATATGTAAAACTTAAGGATTTGGTTTTTGGTCATCTAAACGCGGGCGGAGCCGCGGGCAATGCTAGTTATTAATATATTTAAATATAAAAACATTATCCTCTTTTTATGCTGCATCGCAGTCGTGTATAAATATGCATATCTTTTAATAATATTTACTTAATTAATTGAATATCCTAACATATACATTTCTTTTGTAACGAAAGAATAACGTATTAATTTTACTAACCAATATCAGCAAGGCAGACTCCAACCAGCAATAATATGGCACTAAACTTAATCACGGCTGACGCCATAGCGACAGTATATAACTAGATATTATATAAAATTTATTAAATTATTAGCGTCGTATGCGCACGCGCATCTGTTCTCGACTGGCATTGGTCGTGGCCTTAAACCCTCTTATATGGACGTACGTTGAGTCAGTGGATACCATAAAATTATGTTTATTTTTAGTTTGTTTTGGTTTATTTTTCATTTTATTTACATTTTCATCTTCCACTTAAGGTAGTTATATGTTGCTGTGAAGAAAAAGGTGTAAGCGTACCTGCAGGTGACTTCTAATAAATAAGGCTAATAAAAGAACTCGTTTACTCTATATGCAAAAATCTAAATGCATAAATATATGCATAATGAAAATTAAGTTTCTAAATAATTAACTTGACTGCACTTAAGTAATACAGATCACAAAGAACAGATCACATAATATTATACTAGTAACTAACAGTATAAATATAGTACTAGAGTCTTCACCTACGTTGTAGTTAAAAATAAAAAAGGAAAAAATGGAGTCTTAGAAAAATTTGCCTATTTCATTATACTTATTAACAAAAAATAACAGATATAAAATTCAAAGGTTAACAAATGTATGAATCTATTCTATTATTATAAAGAAAAAAATACTTTTGTTTGTATTGTTTTAAACTGTTTTAAACTTTTCTTCACAACTGAAAAATTACGTTATTCTAGAGTATATTTTGTAGCTGTAGAAGGCTATATTTTATTTCAGTTATAACTAGGTTCCAGCCTAAAATATAATCGAGGGACGGGGATCACTTATTCTTTATTAAAACACAATATTGTTGATGTAATTCTATAAGCATAATTCGAACTTCGAGAAGCAAGTACCTTTTCTGTCTTGGGAATTGGTGAGATTTTATATTTAAACGTTATTAAGAATTTTCATGAACACCTCTACTCACAAAAATCTTTCTACAATGGCGGTCTTTTTTTTTATATTTACGAACAGATCATTTGCAGAGCAGAGCTTGATACCAGTGAGAAATTTATGAGTAAGGATGGTTTATGGTTTAACTTTGTTTACTAATAGATATTTTTTTACTGTGTTTTATATATATTATATAATCAATTATCAAAGGTGAAATGAACTCAAAGCGTAGAAGATAGAGATACAATCTTTTAGTTGCTATTATCATCGTGAAAGTTATGTAGGTAATTGTAGTTTAACTAACTTTTATATATTATACTGAACTGCCTCGGTGGTGTAGTGGCTAGCATGTACGGCTGCACACTCGGAGGTCCTGGGTTGGAGTCCCGGGTCGCGCCAAGTTTAGTTATTGAGTCTTTCTGTATATTAAGGCTCAGTAACAGCCCGGAGTTGGGAAGTTGGCGGTGTTTCACCCCCGTGCCTCGGAGAGCACGTAAAGCCGTCGGTCCTGCGCCTTAACTCTCACTGGTCATGTCGAGTGGTCGTCCCACCAGAGTATGAGAGTGACAGGAATAGAGAGTGCACTTGTGTCTGCGCGCACACTAGTGCACTATAATATCTCCTGCGCAGTTGGCTAGTCTCAATGAGGTTGGCCGCCGTGGTCGGAATCGGTCAGGAGAACATCATCATATACTAGCGGCTCACCCTCGCTTCGCTTCGGGATCGTCCCTATACAAAACCAAATTATCCCACGGGAACGCAACATTTTACCGGGATAATATATATCCTTCCTTAATGAACGAGCTATCTAATGCAAAAAGAATTTTTCAAATCGGATAAGTAGTTCCTGAGATTAGCGCGTTCAAAGAACCAAACTCTGCCTCTTTATAATATTAGTATACATAGATTACTTTAAGGATATTTCGTACTAATTATTTCATAACAGTGAATCCGGGTAAAACATATTTTCTCGGAAGCTCTTCCTCGATCGCTCGATACCTTGAAATATATTTTTTTTAATTAGCTGTTGTATCTTTGTTATTTATTTTTAATAGGCATATGAATATTTGATTAATTTTTATTGTATTTCCCAGTACTTTTCTAATATATTGTATTTAATAAAAATATTAATTATTTATCTAAGCAATAATATTGTTCTATATATAATTTAAAAGAAGTTAAAATATTATTATACATAGATTGATATTATTTAAAGTTAAAAAATTAAGCAACAATGTTGCTACCTTTATAGACAAAAAAAATTGTCTATAAAGGTAGCAATAGTGTTGCTAGATACTTTAACTTTTAATAATAGCAATCCAAATTAATATTCTATTTACTTATAACACGAGAAAATTTCTACTTAGACGCGATAAAACCTATTATAACACATAGTGACAAAAGGACAAAACAGTAAACATATAAAATTCCCTAGAAATTCCATGATATTTATAAATTTTCTAGAATACTGTTATTATTAACGAATGTATGAAATACTTCTGTAATAGTTATTGCGATTTAGAAACGTAGGAGCCGGATGTATGTATGTCATCGTAAATAGTTTTTATTAATTAAAATATTAATTAAATATCATTTAGCAGATGATTTACCATTATATCATATTGGGTACAAATTTTAATAATTACTATAACTAGTTAACAGGAATGACGTCTAAAGTCATCACGTTTTAGAAACAATTCAACATCATTGATACTTAATAAAAAATATGTATGTATAAAATTGAATCTATCAGAATTCACATATGAAATACTAACGTTTTCCTGCGGTTCCGCTCGCATAGTACATTAATTACCAACGTATCATATACTAAAACTTTTTCCGAAACACGCTGCATCTTATGGTGTGAGTATTATTCCGATCGGTTCAGTAGTTATCGCAGTATAACCGAACAAAGAAATCGTCTCTCCATTTATTAGTATAGATGTCCTCCTGGTCAATTTCGGCGATGACGACCAGTCTCATTACGAGTAGCCAACTGCACAGGGGATATTATTATACAGTGTGTGTATGCGCGAACATACATACATAAGTGCATTCTCTATTTCTTATAATCTCTTTCCGATGGGACCACCATTCGTCATGATCTACCAAAGATAATAATGAACGTTGTGGGACTGATAGCTTAACGTGCTCTCTTCAAGATGCTACTGAATATTTCGTAGTACAAAATAAAATGACTATGTTGGATCATCGAGCCGCGACTTTAACATTTCCTTCAAAAACTTACTAAGCTCTCTCAGCATGCAGGTTTCTTTACGATGTTTTTCTTCACCATAAGACAAGTGGTAATCGTCAAAATATCAGAAGTACAAGGCCCGGGATTCAAACTCTCTTCACTTGGTTTCCCAATCAAACACGTGACCACTGGGCTAAAGTATTAAGTGGTGAATAGAGTATTGAGCCTTCACAGTTATCGCTAAGTGTTCAGTATGTTTTGATGAAAAAAATACTAAAATATTCAATATTTCATTCGTGATTGAAACTTCGTGATTGTTTAATACACGAAATAGATTGATATCTTTTACAGGAAGGGAAAACCCTCGTCGACTACTCGTGATTCCAACGTGCTAATTTTATGACTAAGTTCTTATTCTTTTTTGTTCAGTTGACATCACAGAGTCCTTACATATTTATACTAAACTAGATACTGTTTGCCGCTTCTAAAAGGCATATTTTTTCTTTAATCGTTTTTGTAAACAACTTACTTCAAAGGTATTTTCACAAACTATCATATTTGAACAGCTTCGCAATTCTTACGTCGCTCAAGTTATAATTGTATCTAATAGAAAATACTATTTTTTTTCCAATATACAAATATCTCTGAGATAAATTATTGTATTGGAATAAAAGTAGCAAATTTCACCTTTCACGTGTAAAGTACGTATTTATATGCTCAAAATCTTGTTTTTGTCTGTCTGTCTATCTGTCTATTTGTTCCGTATATCTCTAAAATAGCTGGACCGATTTTGATGGGACTTTCACTGGCAGATAGCTGATGTAATAAGGAGTAACGTAGGCTACTTTTATTTTAGAAAAAAAATAGGGTCCCACGAAAAAAAATTAAAACCAATGAAAAATTTAATAATATCCGATTCAAATAGGGAAGTTGTATACATACCCTAGGGACAAGTCGTAGGTGAGTCGCTAGTTCACATATGTTTATGTAGTCCCGTTATAGAATAAATAGAGTCAGTATAATGGACTTTATGAGCTATGTATTATAATATAATAACATTGTAGCAATTCATTGAACGTTTTAAATATGTATATAAAAAGTATAAGTTTCTGTACCGTAGCGGAACTCAACCTAATAGATTTTAAAATTGTTTTATATTTCTCTATTTGTGCAGCCCCAAATACTTATAACGGTTAAAGTTAAGTGGCTGTAATTTAAAAGTATTTGACGTTAATGTGACATAAAGTAGGTAATATTTTATATGACTTCAGTCTCATCTCTAAAACGATTAATTAACTATTATTATTGATTATTATCTAAAAAAAATTGTATGATATCTAAATTTTGAAATAAGTAAGTACCTAAGGAACCTCTCCTACTAAAATTACCTAAGAAATTATTTAGTTGTTACTACTAAATAATTTCTTAAGTAATTTTAGAAGGACAATAAATCTATACATATAATAAAATTATAACCAAGCCGAATCTGTACATTAAATATTTTTTGGAAAATCTTATTGAAATAGACATTATTATCGATACAGAGGCCGAATTTATAGTTTTTAGAATTTTTGTCTGTCTGTCTGTTTCCGCATCACAGAAAAACCACTGGAGGGATTTTGATGAAACTTGGTATGGTGATAGCTGGTTATCCGGATCAACATATAGGGTACTTTTTACTGCGGAATAAAAACTTTTTAACAAAAAATAAAAACCGACTTCAAACAAAAGCACTAAAAAGTAAAAAATAACTGATTGGTAGTTTTCATTTACTATACATACCTAATCAAATATTTTCGAAGTCGGTGTGCTTTGCTTTGTATGGGCTGGCACCGATTTCGAAAATATTTGATTAGGTATGTATTTAATAGGTAGGCTTTAATTACTTAGCCAAAGCACACCGACTTCGAAAATATTTGATTAGGTATGTA